AACTATAACTCAGAGGGGGCTATGCTCTATTTTTCTACACGTTAACAAAATGAGGTAGACTCTACAAAAGTTGTCAACATGGGTACCTCAGCCTTACCAACTTAAGCCGCCAAGTAGCTTGCTTAGTCTTAGTCCTTCAGAATAGCGACACATGATTGGATTACGACCGATAACGTGAAGTCACGTATATAGGTTAGTATTTATTAATAGCTAGACCAGTTTGATTGTCATTCCAATTACATAAAAAATGTTTTTTTTAGTTTATTAACAGAGCCGGGTAGCGGCTTATCGTGCTTGACGAATCTTAGAGAAGCTCATAATAAGTACACAATTGCTGATTGTTTAGGTCTACTTCTAAAAATAATGGTGCCATTAGTAAATATTATATAGACTAAGAATAAGAACTAATATTTGGAAATGATAAGTATCTAGAGTGGGCGAAAATAATTGAAATACCTCTTACAAAGAATGATGCTTGATAGTTGAAATAGAAGTATGAAGTAAATTTGCAGACGACATTTCATAAAATTTCCTCTCTATAAATTAGATGGCACCGGAAGCTTAAGTTTAATCAATGTTAGTGATCAGGAATAGTAATACATAAGGAAATTAAGCTTCTTGTAAGAAGATGATTGTAACCATCATTGCCAATTGTTCCGATTGTTAAAGCCAAATTAAATGTCACAGTTTTCAAGTACTTGCGACCCTGATGATTTTTTTTACGTTATTTCGATGGGTTTGCAGTCATAATTTTCTATGGTATCCTATATATGAGTATACGGCTATTTGTTTAAAGAAAAGCCCCTACGCTACGATGCGTAGCTCGACCTACGATGATACATAACTGATGTCTGTACTTCAGAGGCGTAAGGTGTAGTGATTAATGAAATGGACCGAGTATTGTTCAAAAACTTAATAATCGAAATTAAATACGGTATAGGCAAAAGATAATACTTGAGTGCTCTATTATTAGTATTTCATATCGGCAAATTTAATAGTAGTAGTTACTATGCTATGAAAGTAATGAACTAACTACCTATATAAAAACTAATACTACTTTGAACCCGTGATCCAGTAAACCTAAAACATGGATAATAAAATAGTAACAGATTATCTTTTTAAATTTAAATTACATGTGTAAAATGTATTAAGTCCGAAGGATATACCTATAATTCCTGCATATCACATGCCATGCCTCCATATATCATCCTTAACCTAAACACAAGCTGTTTCAGTTACGGATGAAACAAAGTAAGTTGATTGGCAATAAAATAATAATAATTTTAATTAAGCCATAATCACATATACCTAGTTCTTATATTATCTATAGAATCGGAACAATTTGTAATTGTATAAGCTTGGGAACTGAACTAGGTACGATATCTCAGTAAAACAAAACTTGAATTATATTTGTTATTATAAATAATTATATATTTTATACATAATAAAAATGTGTAAGAAATCCTCACTATATTATATATCAAATATATAAATGATCAAATTCTTTTGACTATGTACTAGATTTGTTTCTTATTACAAGAGACGTATAATAAATACTCTATGCTATATTTTATAATTGTTACAATATACAATTAACTATACTATATTATTCGCAATAGTAAGCTACTACCGCTGTGGAACGTCACAATGAGTTCCCATTTATGTTAGCAAACAATATGCAATTCCGCCATTTTTGGATAGTGATCGCTTGATAACAAAACTATACAAAGTCTTAATCAAGAATAACAATTACATAAAATGATATCACTTACCCATTTACAGAAGGGAATGTTGGTACGTTAAGTAAATATATTTGTTGCCACAATGGATATATATTTTTATCAAGCGATGGATCTAAGTCTTCTAAGTAAGAAAGTAATTTACTTAATGTCTAACTGGAATATGTAGGTATAGGAAGGCACATGTTAAGGTTAAATTAAGAGGTCTACGTCATTCATATTCATTATGCTATTCATGTCTATGGTTGATGGTTATCGTTTTCTATCAAGTGATATTCTTCTTTAACAAAATTTTCTAGTATATCTAGAGACTAGTATATATGTTTGTAATGATCTGGGTGTTATATAATAATACATAGGTAATAGTTGGGCTATTACAGTCATATTCAAGAACACAAGTGTTTGTACTATACATTTATGAAAATTTGTATTCATGAGTACTGAACTATCAGAAAGTGAAGCAGTACAACTAAATAACAAAGTCGTCATAATAATATATTTAATATATATATTGTAATACATTTAATACTTCTATAATCTGCTAAGAAATAATCTATACTGTCAACCCTATAACTACACTACATAATCGGTGATCATGAAATTTACACGTATAATTTTTTTGTAGAACGGCGGTTCACATGATGGTAAGCGATTACCGCCACCCATAAGGGTGCTCATGATCAAGCAATACCAGATAATTGCAAAAGCATTGCCGGCCTTTTAAAAGTAATAAATAAAGAAATAAACTCTTTCCTCGAAGGTAAATGCAGATTAGATTAAAGATACTTAAGAAGAGATTCCCCGACATGACACAGAAAAAAAAAATAGAAAATAAATAACAAGCTTCAGCGATCTAATTAATTATTAATTAAAATAACCTTTATAAGATGTAAAATCAAATATGCGAAAATCAATAAAAAAAAACGAGAATGTGTCCATATTTTTTCCTCACTTCTTTAATTCTTTTTATGTACCTATCCGGCAAATAGCCTGGCAGCTCATCTGATGGTAACTGGCAACCGTCGCCTTCATATATGATTGTTATTGTTATGATTATTTTACGAGTATTCCAATAGCAGTCTATTCAATTTTGTTGTTCGACTGTATTCGTGAACCATTTTCTACATAGTTCTTGAGTTTCAAGTATAAAACTAGTCTTCGTAAATACGTACCTACTATTGTCGCAAGGGAGGAAACTTCCATTTAAGACATTAGTTAATTTATTAGAAACTTTAATTTAAACACCAAAGAGATCAAATTCAAATTCAAAAATCATTTATTCATGTAGGACATTTTAGCCGCTTATGAACGTCAAATTTTTACATTATAATTTTATTTTTTCCCTTCCGTCAAACTCAATCTTTTAATTTCAATAAAGCTAGTACCTAAATAATAGGTAACACTATATTTTGTTGTAGGACTTCCTGAGTCGCGCAAATTATTTTGCTCTAAAAGGGAACATTTTGCAATATTTTTATTGTTGTTGTGCTCCAATCGATCGCAGTGTGACGTGACGATAAATTGGCGATCTAACATTAAAATATGTTTTCAATACGAACTAATAGTTCTAGAGATTACCGGTTCAACTAAATAAACAAACAAACTCATTAGCTTATATTATTTTAGGGGCTGGGGCTATCTTGGGGCTGTTTCCGCACGGGTCCAATTTGTTAGATCATTTCTAATTTTCGTTCGAAAACTTTCATTCATCTTTTTCTGATAAAGCTTAATTAATAAGTTAACAAGTACCTACAAAGCAACTATTGCTTTGTACTTGTTAACCTATTAATTAAAAGTTGTGTAACTTTTAATTTATTAGAGAAGTTTAAACAATATAAACAATCAGAGGTTGGTAACTTTTATGTCTCTAATGTAATATGAAACATCAAGGGAAACCTCTACTACTTTAGATTGTATATCTATCGTTCTATGTTGACAATATTTAATACCCTGCTGGGCGCAAATTAAGCTGTAACCGATCATCAATGAAGATCTTTCAATTAAGGGCAATAATAGGACAATATAGTTATCTAATACTTAATTAAACATCTCGTCATAATCATTTTCATTGCCCATTTTAGTCACTACAACTCGTTGTTACTATTGTAATTGAGTTATGCAACATCAACAAAACTCAGATATACTTTTACCTATATTATATTGTTTATTTATATTATAGAAAGATTTTTGCTTTTATAATATTAGTCTGGATGCAATATATGATTTTTTATGCCTATCCTCGTTTATGAGCATGGCTAGTGAAATATCAACTTACTGATATTATAAATACGAAGGTTTGTTAGTATGGGATGGATAGATGAATGAATAGCTATTTGTTACTATATTTTATTGTAATAATTTACAGTGGTATAGCTTATACATCAGAAAACACATTGGCTATAAATTTAATGGGGGGGAAACCGCGGCCACGGCTAGTATGTGTATAAAATTAATGGCTGCCTATAGAACAACTACATGTTCAGTGAAAGTTATTTATTCGTTCTGACGTCACTGTCAGAAATAGGACAACCTATGTCGATCAAGGTTAGGCCGGTAAAGATATCAATAACTTTTATATCTAACGGCAAATTTGTATTTTTATTATTTTACATCTTTACGTCATTGAGTTATGCGCCCAGTACCAAATAAAGATGGTAGAATGCTAACGTGAGCCCATGAATGGCTATTGCTCGGTCTCTAAAATAAAAATATAAAACTGCAAAATATTGGTTCCTGTAGGACATTTACGCAAGTCATATTTTTTATAACTATTCTTATCTAGTCCAGGTAAATTGGTGGTTTCTACTTAGTAAATATCCCATCCACATTCTGACGCCTGTGTTGCCATTTAATGACTAAAGTTTTATGCTGCCATATCTCACTCTTTAAACATGAACGCAATTACAAAACCAAGCTACTGGCAAAATTAGTTTAGTTCCACCTAATAGCTGATATGAGAATGAATTCATCATGTCATTTCCCATGTTTGTTACAATGACTAGGTGGGTTTTGATAAAGACACGTTCTAGTGGTTTACTACTCGTTTTCTATCCAGAAATCGAGCGTTCAGATCTGATCAAATAAATAAAATGGGCTTAATTCTCTCTCATTCAAGTGCAGAGATATACGATAGCATGAAACTTTGGCATGTCGAGTGTTGCGTTCACCATAATGACAATAGTTGACAATGTTTATATTTATATTATATGCAATGGACTATTTGTGATAATCATCTTAAATATGTAAAAGTATATGACTCACCTTTTGGTACAAGAACGGCCTTGTAAGTGCGAGGTATCTCTCCAGCGCCATGGTGACCGCTATGCATACACTTCCGATCCCAAATACGCGGAGTACTACCCTCGTGGCGCAGAATACGCGCATCTCTTTCACTCCTGGCACATGCTCGCCGACTATCATTGCGCACATCATGCCAACCTGCAGAGATTATAATTGTAATTGTAAAATGGTATCGAGAAAACATAGTAAATGCCTAAAATTGTCGCGTATACTTTTTTTTGCCAGGCTTTTGCCGGCTGCGTTGCCGGCGTTGCCGTATATTGTTGAATATCTGTAACAAATCTTAATTACGCAAGGCGCACGTGACACGTCTGGCGTTTCAGGAGTTTATTGCCTACGCTTACTTTCACAAGGCTGTATGCTTGTTTGTCTCTATTGTAGTATAAAAAATAATATAGGTATATAATAAACTTTTATATCTATACATATTAGGTATAAAACAAAATCCACGCCGCGTTGTCATATGTTCACGATAATCTTAAAAAGTACTTAAATTAATTTCATGCGAATTGAATTGAAGATTTCATCCATCAACATAGCGAGATGTGTATAATTCATTAAGATTTTGTGCAAAATACTTAAAAAAACACTGCTGAACCGCAATCGCTAGTGTCATATTAAAGAAGGAGATGCATTTAGTTCATTGACTTACCAAAGCAACCAAATCGTTGGCCGCCAAAGAAGTTAAAAGAAGTAGATGTTTTCTATTCCTCACTCTCCTCTCTCCCCTTCTTAAAGCAATAATAGCAGTAGCATTCCCAATAATTCCTATAGCATAGACCACTTTGACGATGATCCCAAACATTTTTGGATGTGGCCTCATGCCATGAACTGTACCATTTAAGGCGTGTACAGGAGCAGTAAAATTGGTGATGTTTTGAATTACAGCCGTGCTCAGTGTAGAAGCTAACGTTGTCGACTCCATAATGATATTGTTTTCCCACGTTCTGTTAATCTTGCCTCATTTATAGTCAAATACTGTCTTTTCGGAATCACTTCGATCGTTTTTTATTAATATATTCGTGTTGGTAATGCTCATCGCATAATAATTCTTCATATGGTAATGCTGGAATAAGAATTTAAAGATTAGTGACATCATTTTTGTTTTCTTACAAGTTTCTCAAAATATAAATATATACACCATTAATTTATATTCTAAATTTCTTTATCTAAGTAAAACACCTAGAGGAGGGGCATAGATGAGTTGTAAAAAAAATAAAATAGCGAGGATAGGATAGACCTACCACAAAGTGATGGTTGAATACAACTTAAGAGGAGAAGAAGAAGAAGAGAGGAAGTACAATGATATCTAATTGGTACAGGTTTTGATAAATACTTAAAATTCCTCCACAATTAAACTTAGGTATTTATGCTGTACGATTTAATGGCCATATAAGTTTTTTTATTGATATGTATTAAATGTATAAATAAAAAGAAACTGTTTACATTTTTTCGTTCCCTTGGTATTCGTGACAATTATAATGTATAAATCATACATTACATTTAAAAAATGTTGTACAATGTTTCTCAGATCTTTCAACTTTTTTTTTGGACTACTCTAATGCTTGCCCGTAGCTGGCCTTTACAGCTTCACTGGATAGATGGCACTCCAAACCCCGAAGGACTTATGGAACGACTGAAGGTCAACTCCCGCCTGACGGATACGACTTTAGTCTGAGGGCACCTCTAGGATTTCGAAACTCGGCGCGGGCCGTCGTAATTTCTATTCCCGTTTGAGTTGGACAGGGGATCGGAGAGGACCCACTGAAGTACTAAATGGTTGGGATAAAAAAGCGAAAAAAAATCGACATTCATAAGAGACATCTTCATCATCATCATCATCTTATGTGTCTTTCTATATGTATCTTTTTTTTTCTATTTTGATTGCCTTATATAAGATAAGAAAATCTTAAAATAATTAAGATTTAAGTATGAGTGAGTGAGTGTATTGAAGTGATAAAATTATTGACAATAATTTATTAATTGCCAGGTCAGAAGAGATAATTCTTTGTCAATAAGAACAGTTTGGTATACGTGCCATACGGGTAGTATTCAAGCAAGTTACTGGATAATACTGGAAATAATCAAACTAGTAGATCAAATAAAAACTCTCATCATTTTGCTATCAATATACGATATCAGGTTGACCTGACGCGGTTTCCCCTAGAAACCATCGTGATAAATTCTTGGTGAGTTTACCACGATGGGCTACATGACCTGACCTCATGCTCATCCTATCATCCTCCACTGGTGCCCCGCCAGCGTAAACCATTAGCGGACGCGGGTGTTACATAACATTATCATCCATTAAAAAAAAATGCTCGTTGCTAATAATCCTCTCCGCTCCAATCTAAAGATATTCTCATAAAAACTGCACCCGACGGCGCCTAATTATAATAAACAGACTTTATAGATATATACCAAATCAGGCGTGTTTTTGTCTTAAACAAATATTTTAATATTAAAATAAATAAATTAAGAATTTGTACAACAAACATAATCCACTTCTAAAATTAGTTTGTGACCAATAAAGCATCTGAATATTTGTACTATTAACTGCGGAGCATAGTTAATAGTGCGGAGAAGCGGTCCTATTGCCAGTGTCTATCAGGACGACATCTCCTAGAAACTATCTGTTCTCTATTCCATATTCATAATTGTCCCTTAGTCTCTACATACTAACAATCTTCTTTCCTCGTCATATTACAAGCATTTAAATATACAACTATTAATATTTTTATTAATATATATGTATATAAATACGTAGAGCAAAAACTTTATATAGTATATTCTTTTTGCATAAACAAAAATATTATAATTTAGAGACAATGTGAGCAAAAGTAGACTTATGAAAGTTGAAGTCACAAGAAAACTTATAGTTTATATATAGAAGAAAAATTGGACGGCGAAGATTGAAATTTTTTTATTTTGTATATAGCATAAAAATACATTAAATCAATAAGAAAAACATTGCACCCACTTCAATGTTATTTTTACTCTATTCTATTTTATTCATGTACTTATTTGACACACACACACGCATACCTGTATACCTACTCTTTTGTTTATTGTCAAAATCGGTGTTCAAATTGAGGATAGATTAGTATAAAACATATGGTTTATCTTTAATATTATTAAATGTACTTACTGTATTTAAATTAATTATGGTTGACTTTCGACCACTGCGCGACCACTGGTAAATTTAATTCTAGATAGAAAGTAGAAAAGATTATTGTGTAACATGCCATACAGATATGTACAAAAGCATGAACGTCAATAAAAGGACAGTTAGTTGTACGAGCATACACGAGCCAACAATTGAGGTCTTGTATGCGCTCGATAGCATTATCTCGGAGATGCAACGGTACCTACTGTGGCCGGAAGGTCACTGTGCAACTCCCGAAATTATCATTCATTGCCGGCTCATATAACTCTATAATAGGATATTATTGAAATAGTACAGTCTGTATCTGTTTTATTTATGGCAGAAAATTTAATAAAGAATTATTTCAGGATATGTTCTCAATTCTCAAGAAGATGAGCAAAGGTTGGTTTTTGTGTATTTAATTCAATTATTTTCTATTTTTATAAATAGTTATTTTTTTTATGCGCGATAATTGAATAATGCTTTCGCATGCGGTGAAATCACAGATAATATAATATTACGAATCTGAATTGAACCAGTTGACAAGATGAGCATGTGGATAGATCGGTTAGCTCAGCCTGACGAAGGTTCAGTATAGAGTATTTGGAGGACGAATTCACGTGGAGGTTGTTAGTTCCAGTAAAAAAAAAAAACAAAAAACTATTTACAAAATTATGAAACCTCATACTGAGACATTTTTATAGTACCTATATATTTGTAAATAATAAAGTTTACTGTCGAGTTGCAATAAATGTTAATTGTGTATGTTTTTTAAATAAAATTATTTTATTATATCTGAGCCGATCTAAGAATTTCGACAGATATTTTACTGGAATGTTCTACTGCATAATTAAAATATTCGTTAAGTTTTACGATATCTTTCAATTTTCTGAACAATTTACTTAATATTTCGCATTAATACTTTGTACAAGGTGTTTACGAACTTATTACAAAAAAATATTTATGAAATCGGTTAAGTCGTTCTCAAGTTATGGTATAACAAGGGAAATAGGGACACATTTTTTTATATCTCTATAGATATTCTTTCAACAACTATTATGATGTTGATATTTCCAACGATATCTTTTTATATACTTACTTGCATAATAACTTTATTATTTCGTCCATTCATAATGGTTGATAATAATTATTTGTTTACTATGTTTATATACACTTGTGAAGAGTGTGCAATGATATATGTACACTATGTTATTAATCATCATTATTTGACAACTACAGGTAGTATTGTAGCGCAGAGGAATACAGATATAGTACAGATTGAAAACTTGAGCACTAGTTCAGTTTGGAGTGTCCGTCGAACAATATTTGACAGCCTCGATGGTTTAACGTACTACTTTACCGTCGATGGCCGAGGGTTCGATTCCTTGCACAGAGCAAGCATTTGTATTCATGAGTATGATTGTTTGTATCGCTCTGGTTGTTTTGTATGTATATTAAGTATGAATTTTCAAAATAAAGACTATTTATCTAAATACTTATATCAGTTGTCTGGTACCCATAACGCAAGCTCTGCAGGGTTACTTATTTTTAAAAACAAAAGAACATACTTGTACTTTCTAGTCCAAGAAATGACTACTTTAAAAACTTTAACGGCTTAATATCTATAGTGTAGCTTCATAGTTATCGTATTTTTATTTGTAGAACTATTAGGTGCAAGTTAAAATAATGCGCACTGGGTGGTAAGCTTTCACTCTGTATATTTACAACTCTGTGGTTTCATTGTGATGTTATATTATTAACCACAGATAGTTACGATAAGAATACATAATCTCTACGATAAACTGCTACAAGTGTTATTTCATTCTGAATTAGATATTGTTATCGACATGTGCATGTGATTAAATCAGTTTGACGGTTTAACCATTAACTTTGACAAATGGGAAAAGGATCTTTTGTAACCAATTATGATTGCATATACCGTAGGATATACGATTTGAAAGCATAAGCAAAATAATTACCTGATTATGTTGCAGACACTTTTGTAACGCTCAATAAAACATTAGGTCCATACATATATTAGGATTGTAACTTTGTTGTACAATAGTTATGTACTAAGTACTTAAATTAATATTATTGCAAAGGATTTAAAGCATAGTTTCACAGTTTGGGTAACTATACAGTTCGGATTCTAATTTAATCAATACAACATACATAGATTCAATACTTCTTATCCCGGAAGTTATTTCTTGTTTTTCAAATATTTCTGTTATATTTCTTTCTAAGGTAAATATATATAGAAATAAATTATTATTCATTGTTTTTTCAAAACCTAGTAAACAAAAATATGTAAAAATATTATTGAGATAAAATATCAGGTCAACTTTGCATATAGACACCTACCTTCTTTGTTTATTATGTGCGTATAAGAGTATTAGTTTCTGGGTTATGATTCTACTAAAAAAACATACAAATATTGTTCTAAATAAATATGCGAATACAAGTATGATCGCGGTGATATGGAGGGTTACCATACTGCTACCTTCCAATGGTTGTGAGTTCAATCATTGTACAATACAAATAACTGTATATATTGTAGGTCTTTTAATATTGTTTAAACTTTTTTATATTGTGCATATATTTATAAAAAAATACTATTATGTTCCTCTCTTTTCTAGTGTCTATAATAAATGTTATGTTTAATTTGGAATTAGACGCTACCTTCATTGTTGTCCAGGGTAATTTATTATACACTATGTGTATATATAAATAAATAAATATATATATAGTATTTTATTTGCTTATTTGTCAAATGCGGAATCTTTTCTTCAAACTACATGGAAATAAAATGAACGGTATCAATTCAGAAAGCGACACGAAACAACGAAATTGTGTCGTAACCACATTTGAAATTCATCATAATCACATCCTAGCCGAATTGAAAAACATCTTTCGAAATACATAATACATCTCTCGTTTACAGTATCAATACTTACGGGGGCGACGCATTGTAACCTCAGTGTATGTTTTGCATGTAAATTATATGTTAATATACCTAATAATAATGATTTATTAATATATTTGAATCACCAAGGACGTGGTTTTCGAGTGAATCAATTTATTTCATTCACATGTGTACGTATAATTTTTTATGTACCTAAAATGGCAAACAAACGGTTGGCTTGCTTATTGGAAAGTTTGCCATTTTCATAACAAAACGTTATGGCCCCATTTCTAACAATGTACCATGTAAATTTGACATCCACGCGCATGCAAGTACAACATAGGTTTTACTGGTGTAATACAATAGTGTTTAAATAAATACGTATATTAGTTGGACGAAATTCCAAATGGTGCCAATAAGGCGATTGTAAACTTTGAAGTTGTGACAAATGCTCACATATACTAAAAATCCTTGCCTTTGTAATAATTTGTTTTTTTTTATTTTTTAATTTTTAAACAATACGATAATACAAATATTTTTTTAAAGCATAGGGTTGCCTCCTATGCTATAATTTTTTTTACTTTTTAATAGCATAAGCATATTAACACGCATGTAATGATCAGATAGTCCTGAAGGTTCCAGGGGAATTGCAGGTGTGTTGCCGGAACTTTAGAGAATAATACAGAAAGGAAATTTGGTGATTGCTGGCAGACTTAATAGGATAACCACAAATATTGTGATATATCATAATATAGTATGTAATTAAAATAAAATATATAGTAAACCTATAGTATACAAATAAATAGTTCTGAGATTAACTTGCTCTACAATTGTTAAAAAGTTGTTTTGATTTAATGAAAACAATGAAATCAAACGGAAAAAATATTTTAATCAATAAATTAATGCGTCAGTAGTCTGTATACTGAAAATGTCTCCTACATGTATCTTTAAATAGTTGTCTGCAGAAATATACCAAATCAAATTCAAATATTGAGAGCTTTGTGATTAATTGATCACAATATATTCTTAGTCTTCGTTATACTTGATTTATGCATAAAATTATTACGATTAATTGTAAATAATTGCAAAATCCACGGAGACAGCCGTAGTCGTAAATATAAAGGCATCAATAAACAATATTACCTATGAATGAAACAACTGTCTGATATAACAGACTTGCCTATATTTATATGAAGTAATTACTAACCGATATATAGATAGGTATATTATATAGTACAAGCCGTAATATGGTGGTTAATACCAAACATCTCTGGTTTTCTTTAAAAAATAAAGGAAAACTAGGGATGTTAAATATTAGAAATACATCAATGTTGAACAACAGATAGGCCCAGAGGAAACATCGATGTTTCCTCTGGGCCTATCTGTTGGTTTTCCGACATAGATGCTTCTCATTTGATTAATGCTTAAATATTTATACTTTTATTTATTTATTAATTTAATAACAATACAGTGATGATTTGTGATATATTGATTTTGGTATCGATGACAACATTGATGTATTTCTAATATTTAACATTCCTAGTTTTGTAATGATCAGATAGTCCTGAAGGTTCCATGAGAATTGCAATATATGTAATTGAAATAAAATATATAGTAGAATATGTATAGTAAACCTATAGTATACAAATAAATAGTTCTGAGATTAACTTGCTCTACAATTGTACACATACATCCCTGGTTTTCTTTAAAAAATAAAGGAAAACTAGGGATGTTAAATATTAGAAATACTTCAATGTTGTCATCGATACCAAAATCAATATATCACAAATCATCAATGTATGGTTATTTAATTAATAAATAAATAAAAGTACAAATATTTAAGCATTAATTAAATGAGAAGCATCTATGTCGGAAAACCAACAGATAGGCCCAGAGGAAACATCGAATTTTCCTCTGGGCCTATCTGATCTCGTCTCATTTTGCGTTCCGAATTACCTTTTTACCGATATTGTCGAAGACATTAATGACAAAACATCGATGTTATTATATCTAATTAATTCTATCATGCCCATAGAAACATTAGATATAATTGAGTCTTTGAGGAAATAAATAGTGTAGGTAACAATAAAATTGAGTAGAATTAGATTATATACATTCTAAGAATTATAATAAATACCTATATTAGGGAGCAAATTTTACGACCTTATTACAGATGTAGAGATCAATAGATCAATATAACCGTTATTTTATTGATGTCTTATCGAAAATTATATTTTTATGTATTTATTTGATTATTAAAAATAAAATTGTTGCAAATGAAGTAATAAGTGAAAACTAAAAATTTTTTTGTTATATTAACCGGGACTTAACACGAATAATGTTATGGCAAATAAAGGTACTTACCTCTCGCAACCGGTTCTTAGTTAGTAATATATAAGTTAGAAAAGAATGCATGTATATATATATATATATATATATATGTAATGTGTGTTTTAATCGAAAACAGTATATTCTAAATTATTTTTAAAACGCAACTACATTTTTTTTTATTAATATTTATTATTTTTATTGCATTATTGAAAACGTATGGCCTGAATGCCTTTTTCTAAACTATTCGATCGAACTCGACTTATCGAACTGATTTATTTATTTATTATGAATGTTTTATAAAATTATCCGCGGTACTTAGTTAAAAAAATGTGTGAAATTGCACTGTATCATATTTTTCGATGAACATTTATACGGCGTTCTAATAAAAGCTATGTACACTTTTAAAATATCATGAATGAACTCTTGTTTCTTTGCTAGATAGAGTTTATTTTTCAGAATCTGTAACTAAATGCTTGTTTTTTTATACTCAATGGTGCCACGATGTAAATTGGGAGATGTTAAGTCTGCAATATATACTTTTACTTTGGTATTATGTGCGTTGAAGTTATATACATAAATAATAAATGTATGAGTATAAAATAAATGATTTCTTTTTTAATTAAACAAATCACAATTTATGCGAAATTATTATTTTTGATATAAAATGACGAAATAAAATTTAGTGTTCTAGAATTATATCTATGCAATACGTTACCTTATCTTAAAATAATATACATTTTTAATTAGAGTGTGTTGATAATTACAATGATTTGATTATGAAATGTCAGAATTATCATTCTCAAAATCATTTTGTGATCAATTTGAAGCAATATAGATGAGTAGTTATAGATAAAAGACAAAGAAAAAAGAAAAAATATTCCAGAGACACATTTGGGATCTTAAGGAAAATAACTTTCATGTCATCATATTTTCCTCATTTCGTTACACATGCACAAAAATAAATCCAATAATGGATACATTAATATCTTTTATGCCTATAAATATTTATTATTTAAAAAAATTATAAGTTACCATCGAAAAAAAACAAAACTCAAACAAATTGTAGCTAAGTACCATCTCAATCAAGTCAGCTTTCAAACAAAAAAGCACAATGCAGTTAGTTCTATATTTTAAGAGCTACGATACCAAAAAAAGTAAAACATATGCACAGACACATGAGACTTATAATATCCCTCTTTTTTGCTTCGGGTTTTAAAAATAATAAGTAGATACTTAATAGAAAATAAATTATTAAGATCTATCAAATCAAACTAAAATTAAAAAAATTACCCGATATATGCATATGAAATTAAATTCAGCAATATCACAATAAACACAAAAAAGAATCCACAGATCAGCTTTTTTTATGCAGCTATCCACGCGGACTATTTTCTAGGCTACGCAGGAGTGAGGCGAGCGCACCGCCTGCGAATTCCGTAAGTACTACCGGCATCACTGGTCACTTTACCGGCATGTTACATGTTTACAAGTGTGATAAACAGATAGAGATAGTACTCCCATTAATAAATAGTTTATTTATCTGCTGCACACAAAATTGTTTGTTAATTTAATGACAGAACACATGAACTGTAGGCACTTTATTATGGACTTATGTATTAACTGTTTATTGACAGATTTAACATAATTTCTTGCATTCCAATTAGATGATTGAGTGACTTACCTACTTTGATGTACACGAGTATGACTTGTAGAATTAAATGATGTACTTTTATGTTACTTAGCATATTTTATGAGCTTCAATATAAATCACGAGTCAAAATAGGGACAATTTACTATTGTCCCTATTTTGTATGTCCCTGTATTGGGCGGTCTAGCAATCTTCTTCAGACAGCCTTTATGCTCTACATAAGAAGATATGCTCTACTAAGAGAGAAGACAGACAGAATGTAGCAGGTATGTTTTAGTTCAATCCAGACTAGGTAGTCTGGGTAATCCAATGATTTCTTGACATTGCACCCCTCCCCTACAAATATCGTAATTATAGAGGGAGCTGCCTCGCCTATCCGTAGGTACATTATCAGTTCCATAGATTTAAGGTTTGTAAATTTATATAATAATAATATCTCAGAACAATTTACACAGACCCATCAAGTTCCAAGTTAAGCAGAGCTTATGTCATAGGTACTAGACAACTTACATGTATACACAGATTTTTTTTTAAATACATTCATAATATACATAGAAAATACTCAGACCGATACAAACAATCATACTCATGAATACAAATGTTTGTGCCGAAGAATCTAACCTGCGACCATCGGAAGCAAGGCGAAGTGCTGAACCGCTAGACCATCGATGCTGTAAAAGTTATATGTACAATAATTGTCGTATTTTTCTACGAATAGACTTTACCATAATATTGAAAGAAGTCTCTTAAAATTGAATAAAAAAATGGTAATTATTACTAAGTGGCGATGACGTATATGATGATTTACATACAGATATATTGTCAATTATGATAAAGTTATTCTTGGAGCAAGTCCCAGCATTAAATGCAGTGGGCAGTGGCGGACTAGACCCGTCAGACGCCGGGGGCACCAACTGTGGTCCTCGTTTAAGCACCTACTTGTATGAAGCTCTCAGTATATATAGTTAATGCCATTTTACATGCTTTTTTTACCCCTACGATCGGTTCCTCGTCCAATTCAAACGGAGTTAGAAATTACCCGAGACGAATTTTGAATCCCTAGCGGTGCCCTCACACTAAAGTCGTATCTGTCGTGAGTGACTTGGCCTTCAGCCGCTTCATAAGTCATTCCACGGGTTTGAAACCCGCGGAATGACTTATGAAGCGGCTTATGAAGGTGCTATCGGCATTCGCCCCCTATCGTCCGGTGAAGCTGTAAAGGCTAGCTGCGGCCAACAGCATTACAGTAGTACGATAAAAAACATGCTTTTTTTATGTATAGCATAGATATGTAATATATATCTTATCTAGTGTTTATGGTCATTTAGAGCACTAGTAAAACATGCCTAAAAATAGATTATTCTATGTATAGTCTTAAAGCCTTGTTTAATATTTGATAAAATTGGGATATGATTCGATTAAGATAGATTATATTAAATGTTTGTAATTTGAGGCTAATTGAAAGCCCCTGTGACATCGCCAGAGGCAGGAGGTCCCTTAGTCCGCCACTGATGGAATGTACTCAGTACTTTAGACTGACTTAACATAAAAACAATAGGTGTACCATTTCGGAAGCGTACATTGCTCGTTTCCTTTATTATTATGGATATGAACCCTGTATATGGTCAGCCATGGTGTCACAAAACGCTATTCTCTTATATTGTTGATTGTCACCAGCCTATTATTGTTTTGGAGGTCAACTTTGCAATTTTTTATTTCATAATTTTTTTTATTTTTATAACTCAAAAAAGGTTTGGTTTATATTTGTGTACATTAATTCTATAATTGGGGATGCCCTTACACTAATAGTCCACTATTTAAAATAATTAAATAATGCTGAATTTGTGGAAGTTGGAAAGAAGTAAGGAAAGTACAGTCGTAGGACAATTCTTAAAAGTTCAAATCGGTACATTTACGCCCAGAATAATGCTAATTTTGGTAAAAAAAAATACAGCATTTGTCAAATCTAATATTCTTATTATTATAATTGTGTTGCTAAAAAAGTTTTTAGATTATCTGAAAGTAATGTTATCCAATAAATAATAGGAAATTTTGGGTACTTATCATAACTTAATTTAGTATTCTGTCATGTAAGAGATGAGTAAATAAAACACAAACACTTTTGTGTATACCAACTGTACGGGGCAAGGAAAGAGTCAACTGGGGTCGTGACTTATTTTCTTGTCCAGAAATAAAAACAAAGTTCGAACTTACGGGAACAAATATCGTCTATTGCAACTTGCAACGGGTCGTAATGAAAAGCGACCGGTCAGGGTCGTCTCCACAATATTGAACTAGAAGTAGGAGAACAGCTATAAATGTCACTTGTCAACACATATTAGTTTCATTTGGAAGGTTTTCTTGCCTTCAGAAATAGATACTAGCGTATTTGTAATGGGATATAAATAATATAAATAAACTGACTACAAATAAAATTAGACAAATTCTTACGACTTCATGAAAGAATTTGAGTTCATAGTCATCTGCCTCTGTTTTTTTTTTAAGCATACTGGACATGGCGCTTGCGGCTCATCTGATGGTAAATGATTACCGCCGACCGTTTGCGAGTGCGTTACCGAGCTTTTAAAGTATATATTTTAAAGTATATAAACTCTTTTTCTGAAGGTTTCACATCGTATCAGATTGGAAATACCATAACCGGAAAGTGATTTCACAATGTGGTTGTGCGTGGCAAAAATATGTCTCGAATATTTCTGCCGTTACACATAGTACTGTAATTATTTCCGTTTGATGTGTACTTGCGGTATAGCAGTTCTCAGGAATGGCAACGCATGAGAGGTAACATAACCACGTGATATATTTTTTTTAATTAGCTACGTCTTTCAAATTAGCGTCTAATTAATATATGAGTTCAACTTTTGGGCTGGGACAAAGGGAAAGTCTTGTTAACAAAAACACTGTAGGTAGGTCTAAATTGTTTGATTGTTGTTGTTTCTTTGCTTTGATGAAAATTAAATAAATTGTTAGGTAGTATGTAAATTATAATAAAAGAGTCAGTAATATCTATTGTTATATTATAGGACTGAAAAAAAAAATTCGCCACAGTAAATATTATAAAATGCATAGAAAATTATAAATTATATTTTTACATCTATATAATAGGTGTCCAAAAATTAATTAAAGTTCGCACTTTTTTTTCGGACTACTCTAATGCTGTTGGCCTCAACTGGCCTTTACAGCTTCATCGGACCTTAGGGGGCGAGTGCAGATGGCTTATGGAGTGGCTGAAGGCCAACTCCCGCTTGACGGATACGACTGCTCAGGCCGTCGTAATATCGATCCCCGTTTGAATTGGACGGGGGATCGACCGGAGGGGGGACGGGGGATCGATCGGAGGGAATGTTTTCAGATGTTAAATGTAGTTGCTATCATTTTTGAAGTGCAAAACCTCAGGATCTACTAGGCTTACATTATTGTTATTACAGAACAATACAATAATAATATCACTCACATTCAATTCAATACACCATTATAACACTATAGCCTATAAGCCTCACACATATAAACGAAATATAAAGGTTTATGACAGCACATTACTCATTATTGAATATTAAAACACCTATGCAAAATACAGGATTGATAATGGCGCCATACGGTTGACAGTTGATTGCTTATGGTGAATCTATAACTTCGTCATTGTTCCGTGTTAAGTAGCAATCAGCATTCTGATCGCGAATGAGCAGTTGGCATCGATATTTATCTATGGTCGTATCTAAAATCATTAATAAATGTACCTAATGTCGAATTTTTATGTTTACATTGTTAGTAGAGGACTTTTTGAATTTAACCTAAGTTATAGTCGTCGTTGATATCTTATTGTATTAATTTCCTAAAAAAGGCTATAACAGAATAGCAGAGACCCCTGGATTCACTGTGAGTTATAGATCTATTTTATTATAAGAGGCCGATTAATTATCTGAGAAATTTATTATTACTAATACAAATCGACGGTGTCAGAAGAAAAAAAATGTACCTAAGCTATACATATGGTAAAAATTATAGCATATGGGCAAAGGGACTTTCGGTTATGTAAAATTTTCTTGTCGGGGGAAAAAGGTATTGTTAGTAATGTAGACTGATGACTCCATTGCTGTCAATGTACTATGTCAGGTTGACATCCGTGCTGTGAGCCAGGATGAAGGACACCATTGTGAGTAATGGTGAATTTGCCATAATGGCTCACTGACCAGGTCTCGTGCTCTTCTTATCATCTTCCACTGGTGCCCCACGAGCGTAAACCGTTAGCGTAGGCAGGTACAGTATTCCATTAAAAAAAAATATTTTGGTGTTGAACTCATTGGCGGCAGTAAAAATAGTAAAAAAAAAATATATAGTAAGTCTTTATAGTAATTGAGGTGCAAGCCTACTAAGGTGGAATAAGTTTTCTTCTTGAAGGCTGCAATATCGTATCGGCTTCGAAATGTCATTGCTCGGAGGTGAGTCTAGTAAAATAGTTCTGAGGTAACACGCATAAAAAGTCGAACTGAAAACCATCTCCTTTTTTAAAGTTGGTTAAAATAATGTAGATAATTCATGAATGGTGAATGGTACGCATTTCACATATTTCAATAAAACTGTCCAAGGTGTGGTTTCGGTAGAGATGATTAATGAATAAAACTTCGCATTACACGGCCACTGGGTAAATAATTGCTATCACTTGTCCACTCACTCCTATAAAACAACTCCGGGTGGTAAATGACAGTAGGTAGGTACCTAACCTAGTTTACTATTTAGTAACAATATCAGTCCACGCATTATACTGTAGGTACTTATGTTGTGACACAGGAAACTACGCTGTTACATGAAAGCAGGAAAAAGTTATGCTAATACAGTGAATACTCCTACAGGCCATTATTGTTTTTTTTCTTGTAGATGATAATGGAATGATGGAAAATGAGTACGAAATCAGGTCAGTTATCATCTTCTTAGCAAATGGCAATTTACCACTATGGTTTCCAGGGGGAACCGCGTGGAGGGCAACTTGGCATTGTGCATTGCTAGCAATGAAGTATAGCACAGATATGATAATATTACATAGTCATAGTGATAGAAAGTATGATGTTAAATAAGAGTCCAAATCCTACTACATGAGTCCTATATGAATGAATATTTTTAAATTTGATTTCATTCGAATATAATATAATAAGATAATAAGTTTCCCTCCGTAAAATTGACCTAAAAGTTAATCGCGTGTAAGTACATATTGCTTATTTATTTCAGGGTACTAGGCCCATATTATAAGTACCTTATAAACAAACACACATATTATTGAAATTGATTCTGTAGACACATGAAATTGATCCTTTCAGTCAGTAGTCCTCCTTCGTGGGTGGGCAGCATATTGGTGGGGACCCGGGCCACAAATGCCTTGAATATAGGTACCAAATTTATAATGAACGAACTGTGTCTTATTTGTAAAATATTAAAAATGTAGGTATATATAACATTTTAAATATTTTACGTGGATGATGGCGCGGTCATCCGCGTGGAATAGTGAAATATGACACAAACGTAAACTTAAGTAAGCTATTTGCAGTGGTTTCAGGGTGCTAACTTAAATAATGACGTATACATACAAACTTTCATCCCCTATTTTTTTTAACCTCCTTAAGGGTAACATTTGTACTAACTTTGAATGTCCTATTTATTTATATTTAAATAAATTTACATCTTAAAAAATAAGTTTCAAGCTCCTGTGTTTAAAAATAACGATAGTTCCATACCACCTTTCATCTCTCCTTTCAACCCCTTAAGACCCTTTTATCACATTAAATTACACTTAGTAATTAGTCTATACACTTTCTCAGGGTCTAGGCTATCTGTGTACCAAATTTCATTTGAATCGGTTTAGTAGTATTGGCGTGAAAGCGCGATAGACAGAGTTACTTTCGCACTTATAATATTAATAAGCATTTGAAGACTGTACCCTAGTTGGTTAACCTCCAAACATGTACATTAGGCTTGTCATTTATTTCATGGCTGCTATCCATTATATACCTAGCCGAGTTTCAACAAACACTCCATTCAATTAATTGGTTCATGTCGACTTATCTTGCCCTTATACCTTATATATAGTAATATAGTACCTACCTAACGTTATGGTAAGTTTCCATGTCAGGTATTACACCTTATGTGGAAACTTACTCTGCCATAACAACTTATTGACGTCCTCTTGTAAGGCGCGGGTCTTTTTCCATAAGAGCATAGAGTTTTAATTAAATGAAATCTGCTTAATCTTCCTCTCACAGAAAAAGCAGTTACACAAACTATTGGAGATTGTTAGTAATATGATCTAATATTGCTAGTGGCATTGGTAATAGATACCATGTCAGGTTGACATCCATGTAATATCCCCATTGTTAGTACCACAGATAACATAATATTAAATAGTTAGTACCATTACCTTTACCCTCTACCCGGTTCGCCCTGGACCTAAAACCATCGTGGTAACTTCCTGGTGGATCTGTCACAATGAGCTATCTATATCGTTTACCTTATCATTCTCCACTGGTGCTCCGCCAATGTAAATTATTAGTTCAAGTTTGTTGTACCATTCCACTGTCATGCTTTAAAAAACTATTATTTATTTATTAAAATAACATTATAGGTATCGTTGTAATGTTTTATTTTGCCTTAAATTAGCTTAGGTAATCACTAAATAGCGACCTTTTACATCCTCGTCTTTAAGTTGAAAGGAAGTTGTGATATTTATACAAAGTATTATATTTTATATCCAGCCGGCGGCGGCGGGCATTTAGATGACCGCAGTGGTGTAGCAGATTAGCATACCGCCTTACTACCCATAGTTGCGAGTTCGATCCTTCCCTCAATACACACATTTGTTTAATCTGGGTGTTTTCTATGTATATTATATATTTATTATGCATTTATTTAAAAATAAATGTATTTCAGTATTTCTAACCGTTATCTATCTAACATAACACAAGCTATGATTAACTTGAGACTAGATGGTTGAGACGTTGTCTGAATTGTCCAGAGTTACTATTATTATTTTCTTGACCCTTCTCTAGATTTTATCAGGGCCCTTAGATGTTTTTTCTATGAGGCATTTTTATCAACAAAAGTTCGCATAGTAGAAATCAGTTCAATACTGATGATAGTATCACAGATAACATAATATTACATAATAGTATTAAATAGAAATATTTTTTTGTTATATAATTCAATTCTTGGTACCTACATATTCCATAATTCGATATAATAGATTCTCCGTGTAAAATAACAAAGAATATCGAGAAGTCACTTGTTGTCTGTGGTCAAATTAATATTCTTTATCACTCAGTAAGCAAACTATTTTATACCTAATAAAAAGTTATAAAAAACGTCATATAACGTCACATTAATGAATTGCATGTTCCAAAAAAAAATGTAGGTATAAACTAATATAATCTGAAGTCTAATTAATAATAAAATAAAATCTGTATAAGTTTTATAACAATGGCGATGAAACTGTTTCACGCTTTCGCTGCAGTGCTCACAATGTTATTTTTCCTAATCAGACCCAAGTGCACACATGCAGGAGTATGTCCAGTATGTATAATGTGCTCTCGTATTACTTAACAGTAGTCTTGAAATGAAATAATATAAACATGTTTGTTAACATCAGACATAAAAATAATTCTGATTTCCGACTAGTTTGCATATCCAAGTAATAGTTATCTATGTCTACTCTGAAAGAATATTTTATTTCTAATAAATATTGTCAAAGCTTATAAAAGACCTTTTGCCTGTGCTTTTGCTGAGAATAATATTAGCGCCTTATTAAAATATAGTAGCAAATAGTTCTACTGCCGCTGCTGGGTGATCGCAGGTGTAATGCATTGCCATGGCAAAAACTTTCTACGATAATAGAATTATTGTTTAATTTTAAAATATACAGAAGTTAAAGAGAATAATAATTTATCTACTTCGTTAATTGGTATCATCATGAGAAGAATAGGAAAAAAATTATTATGACGCTACTGAGTTTTGTATAACAGTAAATAAAATCTTAATATTGATTTGAATTAAATAAATTAGGGAATTTAAAATATAGTATTATTTTTGAAACTTATAAATATGTCTTGTTACAGGTAAAACGACGAACCCTTGGATCTTCTGCTGATTTTTGCGGCGATTCTTCTGCAACATCGTCTTCAGTTCCATTCATAAATTGTGTAGCGTGTGCTCGAGTAGATTACTTTGAAAACACTTGTAGACGGCCTAAATATAAACGTGATCCCGACATTCAGATCGATAATGAAGAAATTGGTTACCATCCATTGGATTAAGTCATTGTTATAAATTTATACATGCAACAGTTTCATTTTAATCAAAAATAAACAAACCAAACTTTGTTATACGTTTTATTATAAAAGTAGATAAGCGCCCCATCAAATTGACCATCAATATGTTAAACTAAAAAAATAATTAAGCTATTCATTTATGTGGATGACGTGTGGGCGAAGTATAGGTTCGTCTTCTGGTCGCTGGTACCATAAGATACCTCGCATTCTCTTTGTAATACGGACACGCTGGTTCATCACATCCCAATACTTCCGCTTCATGGAGTACATTACCACCCCTCTGTATTAATTCGTCACCAAGAACTAATCTTCTGGCACAAGCAAGTAAACAAGGTCCACATGTAGCAATAGCACATACAGCTGCTATAAACTCTAGTAAAAACATAACCGCTTCACACCACATTTTTAATATTAATGGTATAAAAACTACTGCATCCTGATTGTGTTTCCATAGGCGATTTAAGTGCCATAAAAACTCATACAAAATTAAAAACGGCTAGAAAAATACGTTTGCAAAAATATAAGAAATTAATATCCAACCGTCATAGCAACAATGTATTTTTAAAAAGTAATAGTTGTATTTAAGGTTCTATGAATACTAGACGATAAAACTTTTTAGGTGTATATATTATTTTACACACTCATAGATTGATATAAATGTTTTATTTTATTGTTAAACAATAAAAGCGATAACTTTATAGAATTAAGATAAGTAATAAAATTGTAGAAAATAGCAAGAGCTCCACCGACGAGAGCGAGGTTCTTAAAGTATGAATGAATGAATCATTGTAAGTCATTGTTTAATCATAAATATTTGAAAATTTATAATTAATTTGTAGTGTGCGTTAATTATATACAAAAGCTTTTTTTGTTAATGAGTTTAACTTTTCGAAGATGCTAATAAAAGAAAAAGTTGCCAATATTTATTTATATAGTAGTTATTTAAAATTTATTGTATGCAACATTTACAATGTCAAAGCTTTCTGTCCTATATCGACTGACAGCTACTTGAACTGTCACAAGGATCATGTGAAGTCAACGTCAAATTTCAAATTTTAATTTGTCAATTCGTCGACAAGTGCAATGGCTCGTACTCCGATTTTGTGTTGGATAATTATTTAATAATAAAACAATTGTATTTCATACAAGCATATCCTTAAATACAGTATTGTGTAGTGTAATAAAAATGATGAAGTCTAGAATTTTGTTTGGGTAAGTCTTCTGAAATTGACATTTGTGTTAGTTCACAAATGAATTTACTTACCATTGTAGATTTCTGGAGGCTTAAGTTAAGTAATTCTATATAAAAATACTTGTTTATTTTATTAGCAGAAGTAGTTTCTAATTCAAGCATATTGAACAATTGAGCTGTATTGAATTCATGCTCATATAAAGGTGGGAGGTTTTGAAGCAGTTTTCTTTTCTTATTGGCAATTAACTGTTGCATGATGAGCAGTGCTTTTAAATGATTTTATTAAATACAAATAATGTTAGAGTATAAATTTGTTATTATATAATTTCATTTTTGATAAACTTGTTACAATTCCTATATTACTTTGTTGAAGGGGACTATATTTAATATGCTTAGTAGGACCCCTGTTCTGTGATGGTTCATTATACAACATACATAGGGTCTTTCTTGCTTCCTTTTTAAATAGTATATTCTTAATTATATACTAATTCTGAATACATACCATAAGCATGAATCATATGAATAATACATAAACTTGTTATTGTAAAGTAACCTTGGAGCAAATATTTGTTTAAGATTATTCAATTAACAATATTTAAAACTAGTTGTGCCATTAACTTTAAAAATAACAATTCTTATGTAAAATATTTTATCTCCCCTTTCTGCCACTTACAGTCATTTTTTGCATTAAAGTAAGCCTATGTACTTTCTCATGGCATATGTCTCTCTATCTGTGTACCAAATTTAATTTAATTTGCTTCAATAGTTTTGGAATGAAAGCAAGACAGACAGAGTTACTTTCCCATTTATAACAAACAAAAAACAATTATAAGGTACAAAATATAGCCCATATTTTGAATCTTACCTTAATATTGTTTTTTGTTTGCATAAGCAATTTATTACAGGCATTCTTTTGTACTAGTTGAGTGACTTGAATTGAAGCCATTGTCCAGTTCGGCTGACAACATTTGAGAATAATTTTTATCACTATTCTCACTGATAGTGACCAAAAATTATGATGAGCATAAGAGAGAGGAAGGTCCCATACAAATACATATTTCTAGATTTCATGAGTGACTTTTTATGGCGATGAAATAGTGTGATTGTTGCTACATACCGAACACTAGATTATAGTGTAGAGTGTAGTGGAACTGGGTGGTATAAACCTAATATAGTATAGTGCTACTATTGGGGTCACTACTAATAGTAATCTATCCTCATTTATATCTATATGTTGACAACCTCAGTGGTCTAGCAGTTTAACATACCACCTTACCTCCAATGGTTGTGGGTTCGATTCTCCTCACATGGTTGTACCATGTCAGGAGAATCGAGAACATTTGTGTACAAGAGTAAGATTGTTTGTGTCAGTATGGGTGTATTCTATGTATTTCCAAAGAAAATGTTTAAGTATGTCAATCAATTATCTAGTACCCATAACACAAGCCCCGCCCATGCAAACACCCATAATTTGAGACTGGCGCTGTGTAAATTGTCCTGGGTTATTCTAGTATATTACATATACATTTATAACAGCACTAACTTAAAAAAACATTTTCAGATTGGTTGGTGTTTCATGTGTGTTATTGACATGGATCTTTGCACAACTATACCATGAACTCTTGAACGCGTATGAACAGTCTGGAAAGCTCATGGTTATGGAATACACATGGTAAGTATAGGACGCATACATATCATATGTGGTACCCAGTTAGGCCTTAAACTTTGACATTCCACTTGGTAACAAACCACCTGTACATATGTTTACTCTTTCAACACATATTTGATAATCTATAAATGGTAAAAAAATGACTATTTGTAATCAATCTACCTGTTTTTTACTTTTAAATAAATTTCTTCAGTAATGTACGTATTTAAAAATATACAACCCCTATTACATACACTACATCCATGTATAGAAATGTTTGAATTGTCATAAGTAATAATAGATAAATGTTATTTTTATATAAAGTATTGTAGTCAATTAAAATAGTATTATGTGACATATTATTCAAGGTACTTAAAAACTAATTAGATTCTCTTATCACGTAAAACTGCATTTTTTAAATATTGTTGCGTGATATGTGACATGTCTTGCCTATCCGATAATCGTTATTGGATATATTTTCTGGAACAAAAAAACAAAAGTTTTTTAATTCAACTACAGAATATATATAACAAATAGCTACTTCGTAATTAAATTATTTTCTTTAAGTATGCCTTATCTTCGGCGATTTCGCACCGATATTGGTAATTATTTTTGATATCTTTTCTTCCGTGGTTATTGTGATACAATTTGGAATAATATTAATCCTATTTACATTGCAATTTAAAAGATTATGCGTTTTTACAAAAATTGTTATAAAAGAAATCTTTATCATATATAATATGTTGTTTATCGTCGACACTCGCCCATATATTAAACGTTGATGACCTTATCAGCGCTAACGGTATACACTGACGAGGTACCAGTATAGGATAAAATGAGGGTTGAATCAGTACACTTATATTTTTTTTATTGAATAATTTAGGTTATTGTTAGATGTTTTAGATCTGCAGCACTGCGACCTGATAGATCTGTTGTGCTCGCCCTTTTTCAAAGTTGGCTACCTAGACCCGTCATGGACGAGAATTGAAAGATATACTTAGGAGCTATGGTTTATTTTCTCAGTACACAGTGTACACTTACCAAAGTAGATATTTCGTTTATGCACGAGTGGGCTACTACTACATAGGATGTGTACGGCGTTTCTTCTTGTCGTTGTCAAAATTAAAAATTTTTTTGTTGAGCACAGGTCTACGTTTATTTGTGCCTTGTGTTTATTTAATTTCAAATGTCCAGGAGGGCCCTAGTCATGATGCATATATTGTTTTTACTCAATAGCAATAGTCTATTGAAGGACATTTAACCTTTTTTAGGTTCGTAGGGAGTTGTTGAAGATCAACCTAATAGTGTACATTGCTAGCAATAAGGTCATAGTCCCATTACTAACAATCTCCCCCCCCCAGCATACTTTAGTAGTCGATTAGAAGTATATCGATCGGGCTGTTCACTACGTGACTGTCAATAATTCATGCACGTTAAACTGCAGCTAGCATGCAAGCTATGTCATGGCTGCTTCGTGTTATGCATATTTTACTATCTTTTTAGCGGACGTTGATAGATATTTAGAGTTGCATTCTTTTATTTGAAAGCCTCGATGGTTTAATGGTTTAGTACACCGCTTTACTTCCGATGATCGCCGGTTTGATTCCTCGCACGTTACAAACATTTGTATTCATGAGTATGATTGTTTGTATTGGTCTGGTCTATGTACATGTATGTATAAGTATAGGTGTCTATCAGTTGTCTAGTACTCATAACACAAGTGCTGGTTAACTAGGTGGCGCTTGAATTGTCCAGGGATATTATTATTTTGCCTAGGTACATTTTGTACAAAGTATTAAGTGTTTTTTATGGGTACCGCTGTCTCACTTATTTCAGCCGCCAACAAACTTGTATTGTAAGCTTAGGTACGCATCAGTGTGAGATATAGCAATAAAAGTACAGAGTACTAAGGCATGACACAACGTATAGAAGGCATGGTAGCGGATGAGTACCACAGGCGTCACAAGACGGGATATCCGTGATACTGTTCATGTAAGAGTAATAGGTGACCGTTCCACTTTCCATAATTTGAGGGCCTATCTACTACTACTACTACCAATTAGTTTGTGTTTCCAATATTACCAGCATTTCAGAATATTAGGTACATACCATTTTCTTGATTGTGACAATTAATATTTGACGCTTCATATCTAATTATACTAAAAAGATATTTTTGAGTGTTTACGAAGTTTTCTAGTTTTGTAAACGTGCTTCGTAAATGTGTTCTAACCCCTTGGGCTTTCTCTTTAAGGTCCGATATATCTTCGCTTATTTGTTATATACGAAATTAAGACATTGTGCAGTCATCAATGAATATCTTGTAATGTGTAGGTAGGCCAAATTTCATGACGATCGGTTGTTATTAAAGCGCTTGGTCCGTCACTGATTCAATTCTATTATATGGGGTGTGAACATAGGTGGGCACTGTTAATCAAGTAGTTAACTTCATTAATCATTAATCCGCTACAAAAAAGTTAGCTTCGTTAAACGTTAAAGCGTTACATTTCAGAAGAATTAACGCAAGTTAACGTTAATCGTTAATCCGTTAATATGTGTAAAATTGCTTTTTTATATCGCTGCGTTAGTGAATTTATAATACCTGATGGTTTAGGTCCTGGAAGTTAAAAGGTTAGGAACAAAACAAAATACAGGTATAACTCAAATGAGTAATTTAATCGTCGGGTATAAGGTGTATATTCTCTTTTATGAATATTAACATGTTGAAGTTCTCATCTGAAACCAAGGCTCGTTATGGTGTTAAAATGTTTACCTGTGGAAAACAGACGTTCAACTGTAGCGCTTATTTAATAAATAGATTTATGAGATTATCTGTTCCTCTTTTTGTTGAGCCTTGATTTTATGTCCCGCCACATTTTACTGAGATTTTGCGTTTTACTCTTTAAAGAGTTGGAGTTTTTTTGTTATCGAACCTGATTTTCACACCGCGCTGCGGTTCTATACGGTAAATAGTAGGGATTAGATTAACGATTAACGGACTTCTGCATATTAAAATGCATTATTATTCTGCATATTAATAGTTAACGTGTCCGTTAACATTTTTAAAAGATAACTTAAAAGTTAATCCGTTATTCAAAATGTTAACTTCGTTAATTAACGAATTAACGAGTTAATGCCCAGGTATGGGTGTGAATATATGACTCCCTTTTTTTAAGCCGTGTTCATGAAACATAAATCTGTGGAATATGTGTATCGTTATAGTTATAGACATAATATATGTTTCAGGTTTTTCAGACTGTTGTTAAATCTGGCAGGCTATGCGACGGTTTTGCTGCCTGGATTTATTTTATACAAATATTTGGACAAATCAAACTATTTCGATAAGATAGGTGAGTGCTTTTATTGGTATTATCGCCCGTGCAACAATATATCGCACATTCAGTACAATAACTGATTAAGGATTAACTCAAAAAACCACTCTAAAGCTTTAGCTTGAAAGTCTAATTTCATAAAAATCTATTTGTGTTATTTCAGTATTATACTAGATGTGCGATGTACATAATTATGTACCTTATCACATGATCATTCAATTGTAATATGGAAAAAACTAAATATATACACTTTACCGCCTTATTCATAAAAAATATTAATGTTTTATTTAGAAATTATTAAAGTAGTTTAGACAAAACAGTTCAACATTGTAATGTTTGCTTTTTTCTATAAAACCGTTGAACTCTCCTGCTCTAGCAATATATGCTGGTGGGGTACCAGTAGAGGATGTTAGACGTCAGGTCAGTTAGCCCATTGTGGCAAATGAGGAAAACTTGGTTCAATTATATCTATTTTATGTTTTCGTCAATATATTTATATTATATATTATATCTTTAGTGATCGCCCAATTGTCGAAATTTTACCATAATTAATATGAATGATAAGTTTGAACAATTATTAACATCCTATTGTTAAAGACTATACTTCTATGCGTGTATGTCAAATAAATGGTAGTGTGTTTAATTGTTTTTTTTAATTTAATGTATCTTTTATGCATATATCTCCTTTATATAGGTGTGAATTTTTTTATGTTTCTCCGTCCGCGGAATTTTCATAAAACGAGGTACCTCCAAAATTTTTGCTTCACGTAATATAATGATATAAATATACAATAAATTGTTTTTTACAATAGACATTGACTTTTACTGTTACAATAGAAATTATTATTGTTTATATCATTATCATTTATTTAGTCAATGATAAACGTTTCAATAATAATAATTTTTATTTCATTATTTGAAATGTTTACGACATTGCAACACACGACCATCGTGATAACAATTAATATATTTATTACTCCATAGTAATTTTTTTTTATTATTTTATCAATTGTACAACGTAATATTACATTTTATCCTTAAAATATAGGGATAATATAAGTTGTATCATTTATATATCGTAGTAATATAAATTTTATCTGATGTCGTTAAATTTTGTAGTTATAATAACTACAATGGGAAAACTTTGTACGAACAATATTAATCGAGAAACGTCCACATGTAGGTCATGGCTAATATAAGCTTTTACAGTAATTACCGTCACATATGGATTGTAATATATGATGTAATACATGTCCATTATCAATAAAATTCATTACCGTTTGAGTACTGTATTACAATAAGTTTATTCAAAACAAAATTTCAATGGAAACGGCACATATTTCTATTCTTATCAAAATACACGTATTTATGGTCCGCGAGCCAAGAACAGTTGGTTTGTTCTTCGCTCGCGGACCATACCAAAGGAACCAAAGAAAACCGGAAGGCAATTGTGACCAATTTCCTCCCGATTGGAAAGTTCTATAATGTTTAATGTAATTGTATTATGAAGCATAGTGAACGTCAGCTAAGATTTCGAGGGTAGTTTGAGGAACAGGTACCTCAGAAACTTTTAAAAATTATATGCATATAAATAGACTTTATGCATTATAACTTTAAAGTTCATTTAAATTATTATTTATGAAATTAATATTATCAGGTTGTCTATTGCTTTCTAGATGGATAAATGTAAACGGCGGCGCTACTATGTTATTCTTGCTTTTAATAACCTACGTTTTTACATTTTACCTGTTTGCGAGGGTCCTGCTTCTCACTTACCCTCACAACCCCTATCTTTCCCTAGGCCCCATAATACAATTATCTTAAACAGTTTAGCAGTTTTCAGCCGAGAGAAAATTGTTGACGAATATAAGACTCTGGCTTGCGAACTATTATTATAGTCCGCGATAGAGTGTATTTATTAATTCATCTGCATTATATATGTAGCTATATAATCGATAAAACGACAGTGATGGCCTTCAGTACGGGGACATTTCATACTCTTTACGTACCTACAGTACTTCGTACTCGTAGATAGTTTGATCGACGTAAATCGGTAAAAAAATATTTACGGAGTTAGAGACAATAATAATAATAATAATGAAGAGAAAATAGCTTTGAAAGTAATAGTAATAATGACTCAAGGCAATTCACAGAGAGCCATGTAGTCTAGTTAAGCAGATCTTGTTTTAAGTAATAACTAATAGAAATACTTATTTTTTTATTTATTTGTAAATACATATATAATGTTCATAGTAAACACTTGATGCAATAATACTGGATACAAATGTTTGTACTATTCGAGAAATCGAACCCGCGATCATCGGAAATAAGGCGGTATGCTAAACCACTAGACCACCGAGGCCGTCAAAATATAATTTATTTATACACTTTATTGCACTGTGTCTATATATAGAAAAGTATTAATTTAAAATATTTTAATAGATTTGTACAAGAGGCGGTCTTATCGTTGAGCAATTTATTCCAGTAACCCTTTAGATAGAAAATAAAGATATGAGAGAAAGAATCTAAAAGATAAGGGTTTTTAATAATGTTAATGTTAGGGGTGGACATTTTATAATATTATAATAAGAAAATGTGACTGTTAAAAAGTGCTTATATGAAGTTTAAATAAAGATTAAAGAAAGAAATAAAGATTATTTGAATAAAGATTATTTCTACTTCTATAATTATAGGAAACACGAGTTGCATATCAAGAACATTATTCGCATGTTTTGGCGACCCTGGTGAGCGGATACCAGACACAGTGAAGTTGACCAAAGTTGATGAGAATACGTCACGGGAGGGCGTTGAGCTGGCCTTCTGTTTTACGGGGCTCATGGGGGCATACCTCGTATGGGGCTTGTTGCAGGAGAAGATAATGACACAGGTGATCCATTATACATCCATACATCTATAGATATAAATAAAATTAGAGTGTCTGTTTGTAATATTGAAATAATCCTTTTTTACTACATGCATGTGAACATAAATACGACACATACACCAAAATAACATTTTTTTTATATTTTTGTCTGTCTGTTTGTTCCGGCTAAACTCTGGAATAGCTGGACCTCTTTTGACGGGTCTATTTTTTGGCAGGTAGCTGATGTAATAAGGAGTAACTTCTACTTTTATTTTAGAAAAATAAAGTTAAGTTCCATGCGGACGAAGTCGCGGTTACAGCTAGTTAGTAATATGTTACATTGCTAACCCTTTATACATATTCTAACTGACCCGCGCTACTTCGTCTGCGTTTGATTTTCCCACCTTTTGCAATATTTTCATTGCAGCTCCGATCCTATTGCTCGTAGCGTAATGTTATATAGCCTAAAGACTTTATCGACAAATGCACTAGCCAACACAAAAGAAAATCAAATCGAACCAGTAGTTCCTGAGATTAGCGCATTCAAACAAACAAACTCTTCAGTCTTATAATATTAATATAGATTATACATAGAATAACATATCCACTTTTTAATAGGATTGACAGTTTTTTATAGGTCGAAAAATACACACAGGTTAAGGTTGAGTCATATAACTGTATCGAGAGTTAGGTAAAGTTAATTGGAAATTTGTGACAGATTAACTTTCGATCACGATAAAAAGGTTTCATAATATTAACTGACGTCGTTACTAATTCGTCTCGGTGAAATTCTTCAGATTTCTAGTCAACATACTAAAATTTAAGTGTTTATTTGTAAATTCAAATTAACAGCTTTTCACTAAATGAATAGGACAGTATACGGTACTGTAATTACATAAATAATAATTAAAAATAAATTAGTCTGCTTGTCTGTTTGTTCTTTCTAATCTCTGAAGCAGCTGGCCCGATTTTAATGCCGTTAAACTCACTCGGAGATAGCGAATGTTATAAGGAGTAACTTTAAAATTATTTTATACATTTTATTAATTTTAATAAATAAACCCTAAGGTTCATGAAACATATCAAAAGTACTTATTGAAGTATATTTAATAATAATAAGAAAATGTATATATAGCACTTTTATATTCTTGTATAACTTATTGTAGCTGACCATGAAAACTAATTTGAACTGTAAAGTTAAAAGATATTATTTATTTGTATATCATAAATCGAATAGAAATTGTAAATCTGTGACTAATTTTGAAATTATAGATAACTGCTCTAAAAGTAATTGGAAACACCTGTGCGTATTTTATAAGGATATATTTACCATTATTTATTATCTATTTTATGTGCTTTTTTTTATCTCGGAGACCAATTTGACATTACAACATAGGTGTTGCGATTCTTAAATAGTGTTGTGGCACAATCGGATTAATATTAATTACCGATTTATATCGATTATTCTCATATAATATGTCGGTGTTAATTTAACATGCATTAACTCAAAATTAATAAAGACTTTATAATATTACAAAGAGGTAGTTTGTGAGGTTGCAGACGGTAATTTCAGGTTCATCTTCTCACTAAAAAATCGGTTTAGTAGATAACCGATTTTTTAGTGAGATTTTCTTTACACGATACGGACCTTGGTGTGTAGCGGTTTTGCACACCGCCGATCTTCCGAATTCGCTGATTCGATTCCTCGCAAACACTGATGAGTACGCGCTATGCGAACTATCCTATAACGTTCCTCAATAAATGGTCTATCGAACAATAAAAGAATTTTACTTCTCACTAAAAAATCGGTTTAGTAGATAACCGAATCAGCGAATTCGGAAGATCGGCGGTGTGCAAAACCGCTACACACCGAGGTCCGTATCGTGTAAAGAAAATAACAACCAGTTTAAGATATTAGTGCAGATCTCCAGTTCTGTAAGTCCCTGTGGTACTGCAGAGACTTCACTATGCAATTATTAAAAACAAAATCAGGAATAATTTTACTTGCATATATTTACCAAAAGGGCTCGCAAGACCTTTAAACCGTTATATATATAAAAAAGGGTACCAAAACAAATATAAATATTTATAAAAAGAATATTGGACAACCTGCCAACAACCTGGTTATACATTTTTTTTTATTCAAACAGAATTGAAATCAACAAGCATTATCAAGGTTAACTTTATAAATTAATCCAATGCATTATAAATAACGTCAAAGTAATCAGTACAGTGAGTGATTGATTTGACATAGAGTAATCATTCAGTAATAAATGTATACGTAACCACATATTTATAATAGTAGATAAACATATATTAAATTTTATCCATAATTTAAGTAATGTTAATGTAAAATGTGTATTATATACTATATATTTACTAGATCTACTAGGTCTACTAGATCTAATGTATTACGCGTACTTTAAAACGAACGCCACTTCTGTCTGTACATTTAGATCTTTTAAGTTACGCAATGCAACGGATTTAATGCAGTTTTCAGCAATAGATAGTGTGATTCAAGTGGAAGGTTTATATATATATAATACATGTATATTATAGTACAGAATTAAAAGATTTGTAATACACCCGTGCTAGGCCTGGGCAGTGCCGGTAGTGTTCTATATACATATTAACATTATAATATTGTTGTAGAACTATGTGATGCCCGATGGGACCCTGATAAAGTTCAACGACTCTCAATTCCTGGTGTTCATCAACCGGTTGTCAGCGTTCCTGATCGCGGTGGTCAGGCTATTGTGCACTCACCAGCCGCTGGTCGCCGCTCCACTCTACAAATTCTCCTACTGCTCAATAACTAATATAATAAGTGCATGGTGCCAATACGAGGCGTTGAAGTATGTTAGCTTTCCAACACAGGTCAGTAATCATAATAATAATATAATAATAATAGCCTTGAACAATTCACATAGCGCCATGTAATCGAAAGCAAAGCAGTGTAATGATGTCTACACACACATATTTTTGCCTAGTACTTATGTACTAGGCAATAATATAAATGCTTAGATTTTTTTTTGTAAATTGCACACATAACATAACATAATACCCAGACTCAATTATATTCATGACTACAATGTTTGTACCGTGCGGAGAATCGAACCCGCGACCATCGGAGGTAATGCGATGTGCTGACCATCCGCCAAGCTATAGCCGCCAAGTTACAGTTACATTTAAAATTTTACATTAAAGAATAACAACCGTGTTCAGAAAAACATCTTAATCAAGAAGGAATGATATGCAGTTCTTCTCGATTAAAAAGATTTTCTGTATACCATAGAAAATTTTTAAAATAAATAGTTATGATAAATGGAATAGACATTAAAAAACAAATTGATACATACAAATCGATTAAAAAAAAATATTACTTAATCTTCGCCATGTGAAGCTTCTCATACCACTCACACGTTGCTATTCCGGAGAATTCAGATGTCATGTCTATTATATATAATTTCGCTCCCCTATCGAAACAACTTACAAAGCAAGCTGCTTGGACACTGAAATAAGTGAATGAGGTACTCACATAGACAACTGTTTAAAGTAAATTTTTTCGCTTGTTTAATATTAAAAAAAAATTACTTACAGGTGCTATCAAAATCATGTAAAGTCATACCTGTGATGCTGATGGGTAAATTGATTTCAAGGAAGAAGTACGAATTCTACGAATATGTGATGGCCGTACTAATCTCGATTGGAATGATCCTCTTCATCTTCGGCAGCCATGATGACTCCACAGGTTAGTTATTTTTATCTAAGTTGTATGGTAAACAAGGTAGAGGTCCATATGATGAAAAGTGGCAACCCTCACCTCTATAACTGAACATGTACAACAGGTTTCGCATCATGTAACGCTCATGGTACCATGGCTTGGCATTCTATAGGACTAACTTGGTATTTCAATAATTGTATTGCCATTTCTCATTCCTCCAACCGAAACACAGCTTAAAGACGTATTTCGCGAATCCTAGAAATAAATGGAACAAGGGCAGGAAGATTATGATAGAAGTGCATTTTCTTTCTAGCCTCATTGTATTAAAATATTGCTCTGTATTATTTCGAGAGTCGTATGAATGGCGGCTGTGCTACGACGTCGCCCGCGCTATGCAGTCGCTGCAGGCTCTATTTTTGTTGTATGTTTTATTTTTTTTCTCAATAATTCTTTTTTATTGAAGTGAAAACTTCTTTAGGCTTAACTTACAGTTTATTTAGTTGTGGTTTAGATACGGTATAATGAAGATATGATTCATCTGTTATATGATAAATACAATGTTTAAAATTCTTTCTCTCCTTATTTCTTTGAGAAATTGTGCACTAAATGTGACGAAGATAATCCCATCGTACTTATACTAAATAACAATTATAAAAAAGAACAATCACCTTAAATTAATGCGATACCAGACAGAGCAATAATTAGGCTGTATCCGAAGCTGGCTCTGCCAATATTCCATGAAATACACCTATGTCTAAGCTATTTAACTTCAAAGCTTGGATGATATACTCTCTTCTTAGAAGTATTACGAGCACATTACATCAAAATATTTTGCAGATATTTTTTCTCACAAGCTTCACAATTAAGAGATGTTACTTTTTTGTATTACATATAATATGTACATTTATTGAACGTACATAGCAGTCTAAAGCCTGGGACTAAGGTGTTAAAACTCAAAACAGAGAAGTACAAAAAATTGTAGCAGCATACGAAATTACTTAGGACATCACTTTTGCGAATATATATATTATTACGCTGTATATATTATCTAACTTATAAACATTGTCATTATCAAATAACAGCATGCTATTCTTTATCTCGTATCTTATACCAATGCAACAATAATTTTGGATGAAATAGTGCCGTCACGTTCGGCTATGTAACCTTCGGGTAAAGTCGGCTAGAGTCTACTGAGAGAGCGAGAGAGATATAGTAAACTCGTCACTGCTATGCTGACATCGCCTTGATGAAGTTTTCATTTCTGTCGTGCGGTCTTAGGCACACACTTTTTATACGTACTAACTTCTGCCTGCGAGTTCATCCGCGTTTCCACAATTAACCTATTTCCTTCTTCAACCTAAATCTCATACATATATTACTACGCGAAGTTTCACGACGATTGGTTAAGCCATTACGTCATGCCAGAGTACAACAATCAAACCCACTTTAAATTATAATTTTAAGATTGTAATTGCGTTGCAGTAATTAACTTATTATTTCAAAGGAAAATATGACTATACGTGTCTTTTTAATGACATAGCGTAAGGAACACAGCAACATTATACAATTTCTTAAAATAGATTATGTAAACATTTTATTAATATGTGACATGAATCTATAAACATACAATGTAAACGTAACGTTAAACGGCAATGGTGGACACTTGCCATCAGGAGCCCGCCTGATGGTAAGCGTCCACCATAGCCGTCTCTCATAATTCCACTGCCACTGTGAAACTGATATATTTATGTATATCTGTATCGATAAGAACTAAAATGACAGTCTTTACCCGAATTATCTGAAATTCACTTTGTACAAATTCAGCATGGGTATCTTTGGTTCACCTATTTCTATCATCAACGGCTTGCTTGGTTATCTTTGTTCAGGTTCTATAAGGCCTTATGGAAACTATGGTACTGTTACCATCATATTCCTCAGGAACAGTACGACATGTGTGTCACGCCATCATCATCATGTATTTTTGTGATGATCATGGTGCTAATCATGTCTATAGGCGATAGTTCAGTTTACATTCTAGTTACGTAAAAAGAAATGACTTTGTACAAAATGTCTTAAAAAATATGTTAAAAATACCTTGTATTAAAGTAGTAGTAGTATTCTTGTATTGTAATACTGCGTCGAATGAACTGAATAGACAATAACACTTTGTGCAAAGTCGTACATGACTACACACTTTCCATCAAGCAGGTCGTCGACTTGTTTCTCGTTATGTAAAAGAAATAACTTTGTCAGAGTCTTTAAAAGTAGTTTAAAAATACTTTGTATAAAGTCTTCTTGTAGTACTACGTTGGATGCACTGAATGCCACGGAATGGCATTTTATGCCTATGCATAAAATGCCATTCAGTGGACTATTCCAACGACTTTAAATGATATTCTATTAAAAAACTATACTCCATAATGTCGATAAAAACTGCAATGAAGTCTCGCTCTCATATCTCCTGTATGTTTATTGAATGTTGTAACTTTGTATAAAGTGTAATCAAGAAATTGTTCCGCAGTGTCGACAGTGACCACGATGTCAGGTCTTACCCTGCTGTCGTTGTACATGCTGTGCGACAGCTTCACATCTTCATGGCAGGGCGCTCTCTTCACGCGCTACAACTGTACGTCGCTACAGATGCTTTGCGGCGTTAACTTGTTCTCGTGCGTGTTGACTGCGTCTGCGCTTGCGCAGCACAACACAACTATCTACTCATTAAGACTGTTGCAGGTTAGTATTTGCTACAAACTACTTTACTGTTTAAAATAAAACTAGTCTATTAACATAGTGGTTTAGCACACTGTTTTACTTCTGATGGTCGCGGGTTCGATTCCTCGCAAGGTTCAAACATTTATATTCATGAGTATGATTGTTTGTATCGGTCTGGGTGTTTTCTCTGTACAATATCTATGTACTTACAAAAAAAATATATCTAAGTATTTATGTCAGTTTTCTAGTACCCATAAGACAAGCTCTGCTTAGCTTGGGACTAGATGGCATTATGTGAATTGTCTAGGGATATTATTATAGAATATACTTAACTGAACATTAGAGAAAAATATGTTAATACAAAGAATTTGATGTTCATATGTGGCTAAAATGTACTACTTGAAGAAATTATTTTTGATTGGATTTGTTTCAGCATCCGGTGTTCGCATTCGACTGTGTATTACTAATGGCAAGTTCTGCTGTCGGCCAATTGCTTATATATCGCACTATAGCGCGATTCGGCGCTGTGGTCTTCACTATTATCATGACACTTAGACAGGTAATTCTCGTTTTTATATAATTGAACTTGTCTAATAGCTTAAATATATTAAATGTGACATTATAATGGCTTAAATTTGTATATATACTAGTAAACATAAAAGAGTATAAAATCATTAAGCATTATAATAAAATCGCAAACGAGTTGTAATAAATTAAAACAGGTTTTAATGTTTTTTTGTCAGTCAGTAGGTTCATGCACGGTAATATCGGAAGGACTTGTGATGTTTTGAAAATTAAAGAAAATTTTTAGCATTCTGCACTCATTCTCTATAAAAACTATAAGTGTGCGAAATTTCATCTCCTCGCAATTTTTGTAAAAAGGGATACAAGTTTTTGCTTCACGTATTAATAAATAATAAACTTTTTTTTCAGGCGGTATCAATACTTCTCTCATGTCTAGTCTATGGGCACGTGATATCTGTGGGCGGGGTGCTTGGAGTGATGCTCGTGTTCTTAGCCGTTTTTCTAGGAGTATATTGCAGGCAGCGACTGCGCAAGCGCAGGGCTGCCAATGTATAGCAGGAGTGTACTCTCTCAGAGAGTGAAATTGCAGACATTAGACGTTATGCACAGTCAGTGTACAGATGTATACAGAATCCTTATTAAGTGATAAAAAATAATTGTTTCAACGAATGTTGTTGACAGTTTTAATGTCTATTCTTAGTGTAGTGATCGCGTGAAATGGAAATGTAAACAGAGTACTATGGGTCATATTGCTTTTAAAGCGGCTACACACGGTTCTCTTTAAATATTGTAGTACCATTTTAACACTGTGTGTAGAGGTTTTGTGGCGATATTGTATCTATATTTATTTATTTATTCTGTGTATGAAAGTAGCACATATCGAAACTGTATTTCAATATCTGTGTATAGGCGATATCCATATCATATAATGCCAATACCAACTATATTTCTTTAAAATCGAGAATTCCTCTCACAATGTGATTTAGATATTGTTGGAATTCTGTTATGTAGGTACTATAATGACATATATATATATATCATCGGTATAGCCGATATCTTATACAATATTAGTGTACCATTAAATATGTATATTGGTTCAAATATATAAATAGTGAAATTTATACAATTACACGATTTATATATTTAATATATATTTGTAGTAACTACAAAGTATCATGTCTTATTACTTATATATATATTTTAATATTTGTATGACAATCATTCGTATTTAGTATAATATCTATCTAAACTTAACCTGATTATAGCGTTATTGTCATATAACCAGTTAAACAAAGCCATATATGATTTGTTTCATTGTTTAACTGTGTTAGATGCACCCTCTTGGGCACCATGTCTAATAGTTTTTGGTTAAAAGGTACAAGTAGCATTTCTATGCTTGCAGTGCGTTGCACAGAGATGTGTATTGAAGTATATACAGAATTGTAGAAAAATAACGCAATGCTTCATACTGCATCGTGTTGCAAGCTACGAGATGCTACCTTTACAAATGTCCCGGCATCGGCCCGGTTCAGTTAAGATCGTGGATTCAAATCCGATTTTGTCAAACATTAAATAATTATTGGACAATATCTACATATATATTATTTTCTGAATTATTTAAGAATATCTTTGTAAATATCAATAATTTGACGTTGACACTTATCTGTACATAGCATTACACGTGACCACTAGTATGATAATTATAAGAGTCTGCACACACTCGACAGCAGTGCCAATTTTTTGTCTATTCTACGTGGTGTTTTAAATATAAAAGCACAACAATAGGATGTGTGTAGACCGCTTTAGAGCGGGTACTCTAATTAACTGTATACTAGTTATTACTCATAAAGAGCAATTTAACGTGTGTTTTGTGCTTTGTGCGCAGTTTTCTCGCTTGTTTTAGCTATGTCTTATTCTCCCATTTTTGTCGAGTGGTAGGTACGATTCGATTATTATTATAATGTAATATCAATCTAGGGTTGCCAACCTTAAAACGTCAAAAATCTCGTATGCTGGCTCAATTTAGCTCTCTAACATCGAACGTCAACGTATATTAAACGATTTCTTTAGTTCAAAATTATGTAGGACATTTGACAAAATGTCCTTGTACCAAAGATCAAAAATCTCATACCTATAGAAGTATTTTTGTACCCTTTCGGTTGGCATCCCTGTATGAATCTATAATATGTACTTATCTACGGCGAGAAGCCATCCTCCAGAAAGAAGCGCACACAATTATCATGTAACAAATAGCATGCGTTAGAGAGACGGATTATTGAAGTATTTAAACAACTAAAAAGTTATACAAGATCAGATAAATTATGGTCAAATTGACATTGTAAATTAGATTATGCTATATAGATAGATGCGATAAATTTATAAATATCCCGCCCTCAATACGCTACTGTATTAAATATATAATACATTTTTTTAGAAGTGGACTTTACAGTTATAATTTTAAAGTCTAGTTCCAAAAATCGTTTATTTAAGAGTTATTGCAGTATTGTATTGAGGGTGTGATTATATTTATTATTATTATATTCATGAAATTATTAATTAGTTTAAATTGAAGACTCATGAAGTAACTAGGAGAGTGATAAGTGGAATTTAGATTCTGCTTTAGAATGTTGCAACGAATTGCAATATTTTGTATGCAATTAACAACATGAGATTTAGTTGTATTATTAGATATACATAGATAACTCCTTAAAATACCTATTGTATATTATGAGTAAATAGTATGTTCCACTGTCTGTAAAGTACCTAATTATTTTGTTTTACTAATCTGTTGGAGTATATTTTATTTTCTTTTAATTTTTTTTTTAATGAAATGAAATTATTTATTGCATTGAATATTGTAATTATACAGTTTTCCAGTTTACATATTTTAATATAATAATAATAATACATTACTTGACCATAATTCGTATACTCGTTCTATTATAAATTACAATTATTAATAAGTAAATATTTATTATACAAAATATAATATAGTAAACTATATAATACAAAATATAGTAAACTATATTTTTACAGATACTCAAAATACATTATATTAATTTCTTATGTTTCAATGTTTAATTTAATTAAGGAACGCATTTTTAGGATCTTTAGGGAGTTGACTATGAATTAAATACCAAAAGCGTGTAAAGTATAAGGTCGAATGTGACGTGGTGAAAAATCGAAACCTAAGGTAGACCAAAAGAGCTGTACTGTGATGAATTGTATGACGTAGAGGTTTGTGTATGGGAGCAATGATTTGGGGAAGGGTTAGGGGTCGATACTGAGAGGTCACAATGTAACCGTCCTGAATTTTTCTAGACCTATAGACAACACATTCTATTAACGATACATTCATTTATTTATTTACATTAATAAACAGCTTAGAAACTTATAAAATTATATTAGTAAATTACAATAAATATCCTTATTATTTAAATTAATATCTATGTCCACGTCTGGACGTGGATCATTGCACTGCTGCGGACCCAGTGCATCTGGATGCACTGGGTCCGCAGCAGTGCAATGATGTCCAATGCTTCAATCCGACATATTTGCTATAATGTTTATAAGGCTATATATTAGCCACTTGTTGAAATTATTCCAATTTTTTTAGAACACAACAGTTCATTGAGATGTCGATAGAACCTTTCATGCAGAACTATAGACTTCGCCACATTCTATGGTTAATATATTCATTAGGCGCCTGTTTATTCTAGTAGAGAATACTGTATCGAACTTTCTACAAGTCAGCAATATATTGACAATATGACAAAAACTGTAGTCTATCTGTATTTATCTAATAATATTGTGAAAAGAAAAGACTTCTTGTTTATGATGGATAAATTTAAACATACTTAAGTGGTATTAATTTTGTTTTTACCTATAGCTAAGTTAGTAGCAAGTAAATTGCGGTATGTTTCATTTAGCTTTTTTCTCTTAGCTTTAATGTTAATAGAATTATATTTTGTCTACAGGTCTAGTGTTTCTGTCCACTTATTCTTCTCGTGGGTCGAAATAGTACTCTTTGTTAATACTTTTCAGTATAGACTTAATACAATTGAAATATACATACATAAATGCACTCCTTGTGGTGCTGTATGTACATATATAGGCGACGGTTAAAACTTAACATCAAGTAGACCATCGCCTTGTCCTTCCAATTACTTAAAAAAGAACTATGACTTCATAGAAAAATCAGAAAAAAAAATCAGTTGAGTAAATTGTAAAAGAGTAAATTTACACAATATTAATATTTATTTTATTTTTATTTAACAAGGTTAATATAACAAAAATACAGTGAAATCATACATCTTTGAGAGAATATGTTGGATGGATTTTATATATTTGGATTTGTTATATGTATATTGTCATGACATATAGAAAACAGTGGTTGAACCATTTCAAAACTTCTCAATTACAGAATGTTGCATTATTAAAGAGATGAAAGGAAGATGTGAGCATATCGCGTATCTATTTTGTTGTATATGTTAGTTATAAAAGGACTTATTTTAAAGCCAATTTAAAATTACTGATTTATTTTAAACTAGCTGTTACCTGTATTGGACTTCGTCTGCATGGAAAACTAACATATTTTTTATTAAAATAATTAAAAATTCTGAATTGAAAGTAGCCTGAGTTACTCCTTGTAACATTAGCTATCTGCGAGTGAAAATCCCGTAGAAAGCGGTCCAGCCATTTCTGAGATTAGCAGGAGCAAACAGACATACATCTTTTAAAATTATTTTTGGTTGTAAATAGCAATAAAAGGCATATAAAAGTACATACGGTATGTACTTTTATATGCCTTTAGTGAAAAACTGGTATTTTGAAACTTACCAGACACTGCAATTTTATTTATTTATGTAGATATTAGCTTATTTCTACTTATATTTTGTACTGTAATGTAAGTACTTAAATTATTTAAAAGTAAATCAGTAATTTTAAACATATTGTCTAAGGACATTTGTATTGCATTTTACAGAATTGTGAATTATCATATGAAAATATTATTTTATTTGAAATTTAAAATGAAATGTTATGTTTATCAATTAACCTACATTTCAATATAATGTGTGAATTTAGGTTGTGTGTTTTAGTAAATAGAAAATAAAGAAGAATATATTCAAGTTATATACTTAGTTGTTTTATTGTATTTTTTTAGGGTTTTGGGCTATTGTCATATGCTAAGTACCTGTAACACTGCGACGTCAATAGATCTATTGTGCTTGCCCTTTTTCAAAGTTCCCTACCCTAGACCCGATGGACAAGAATTGAAGGATAATCTTAGGAGCGATGGTCTTTATCTCCTCAGGATAGATTGTATACTTCCAAAGAAGATATTTCGTTTATGCTTAAGTGGGCTACCACTACATAGGATGTGTAGTAGCGTTTCCTCTTCTGCCTGGCAAAATCTGTAGATTGTTGCGACAATATTTATGCAGCAATAGTCTATTGGAGTATTGATTCGAGTAGTCCGTAATAAGGCGGTGCAATTTAATAGTAGATATTAAGATAAAAAAGATAGCCTTATTAGATTTCATTAAGGTCTGTTCAAACGTTTAGTTGTGAAAATCTAAGACGCACATTGAATTTGTAGTAGTATGGATATGTATAGATATACGTCAAGAGTAGTAAAGACTGCTTGTTATTAAATATTTAAAAATAAATTGCTAATGACACTACAGACTAGCTAATTTTCGTTTGTAATTTGGTTGTCAAAGATTTTTGTGAAATTGTATAAATATGTGGTTCACAAACCCGATTAATATTAACAGTTATTATCAATTTAAACAGTTTGAGACGATCCTATTCGAAAAGTAAAAAGAAAATTGCCATGGTGCGTATTAAAATTCTTTTGATACCTTGTATTTACTATGTAACCCGTGACTTTGTGTGGAATTTAACTTTTTCCTTATAAGAATAAAAAAGAATTTAAAATGAAAGTAGCCTAAGTTACAGCTTATAATACTGGCAATCTGCGGGCGAAAGTTCCGTCGAAATTGGTCCAGCCTTTGGCCGCTAGGATATAGACGCTAATATCCTATATTGTTTTCCTTTGAGCAGCCAGTAGGTGGAATGAGGTGGAGAAATGAATAAGACAGGTTGTAGCTATTTAGCTGTTAGCAAGAACAAACAGACAGGCAATTATTTCTACTTTATAAACCAGGAAGTTCGTCATTTTAGCTAAATTCCTGACAAGCCTTCTCAGAGATTAGCAAGAATAAACAGACCTACATTTTTTTTAAATTATTTTTTTAACCAGATAGGTCGTTAACTTGGTATTTCAAATACATAAAAACAATGTTCAAGTCTAGATGCGAGCATGCTGGTGCAGCTATTGTTGACAGCTTTGCTGGCTGCCGGCATGACTCCATGCGTTGTACAGAGACTGTGCCCGTTGCGAAGACCGCGCCCACCTTCCAGCGTATGCATGCACCGCCTCGACCAAACCGTTGAGTATAACAACTAAATTACATACCACTGTTGGTTCTTATGGATTATAATGGAATGGTGTACTAATGTTTTACGCTGGCGGGGCACTTGTAAAGGATGATAAGATAAGCATGATATATGGTCAGTTAGCCCATCGTAATAAATTCATGGCAAATTTACCACGATGGGCTAGGTGACCTGACAGCACAACAGCTCACAGCGTTGTCAGCCCTAAAGTGATTGTACTAAGCAAAAATTACTTAAAAATACTAAAACATCTTGAACAATGGTTATAAATAAATATACGTACTTATGTATGCAAATGTTTGTACTGTGGTGAGATCGAACCCACAGACATAGTGTTCAACCATTAGAAAAGCGTGATCATCAAAATTTGTACTTCGTTAGATACTCAAAGTAGAATTAATGTTATCGAATTGTCTATGTATACGACTTAGAGGGCACTTTAATGTCAGGCTCAATATCGATCCCCGTTTGAATTGGACGGGGGATTGATCGGAGGGGACTAGAAAAGCGTGATCATCAAAATTTGTACTTCGTTAGGTACTAAAAGTAGAATGAATGTTATCGAATTGTCATTATACTAACTTTAATGTTTCAATAGGAATACCAGGTCGCTCCGCCTTCTTAGAAGATGTGCTGCGGTATATTACCAGCCTAAGGAGTAATATTCATGATGATTGTCTATGTATACCTCGGCACTTTAATGTCCTTAATAGAAATGGTGACCCACTTCATATGGTAAGGTTGTACGAGTGTCGCCAGGCCGTACCGCCCTCTTTAGAGATGGGCTGCGGCTGATTGTTTATTAGCAACCTAAGCTAGCAGGGGGAAGGGGACTGTTAGTAATGTGGATTGATAACCCCATTGCTAGCAAAGTACCATGTCAGGTCGCCTCCACGCGGTCCCCCCTGGAAACCATTGTGTTAAATTCCTAGTGAATTTGTCGCGATGGGCTAACTGACCTGACCTCATTCTCATCTTATCATCTTTCACTGGTGCCCAGCCAGCGTAAACCGTTAGCGCAGGCGGGTGCACCATTCCATTATCATATACAAAAAAAAAACCTAAGCTAGCTAACCTAAAATTCTTCATAAAATTTGAATGAAGTTATCTAGAGTTTAAAAGTGTCTTTTTCCATATCCAGCTCCTTATATTTCTTTAAATCTATATTGTATTCTTTTTTAGTACAAAATGTGAAAATAAATTAAAGAAAATTATTGAGAACATTTTCTTCTCCTATAGAAGGGAATATGTTAGATAATGAAAATCCATAACTACCGCCATTCAATTAGTAAATTATATGTAAAGTAAGTTAATTTCCAACATTCTATTATCTCATCCCTGCTTTACGCCTAATGAAATACAGCCAATAACTAAACCTATTCTTATGTAGGTGAAAGAAATTTTGTAACCGATTCAGTATTTTCTTAGTTTATGCATTGTAAAGATAATGGGTTCATGTTATTATATGGGTTGTTGTTTCCCATAAGAATGAATGTGGGAATAATCGAATTGGGCAAATATTACAATACATTGGTTATGTTATGATTGGTTGTACATATGGCCGATGAGCCACCATGTTGTCGTATCGTGTCCGCCTTTTGTTTACTAAACAAATGCAGTGTTGACAGTATTGTGTTTCATCTTATAACCATAATTATTACTGCCCCCGTACCATGGTAACCAAAATTATGATTTTTTTTCAGTTTTGTTGTTTATTGCCAATGAATACTAATTTTCAAACCAATTATTTAATGTAGATACTTAACTCGCATTTATCATTAATTTACATTGATCATTTATTATATTAGAAAAAATATATGATCCATTTCATAATATTGATATTGATGAAATGATTCGATTGTCGCGGGCTCATTTCCACTATGTAATATTTATTATATGTGATTTAGAAATGCACAGTAACATGACGACGGCGACGCCTTGATTTAATCTGTTAAGTTACGTTACACTAGTATATGAATCAATATTTCTATTGATTGTTGAGATGACTATTATGTTATAATGTGATTATATGTATAAATAAATGGATAGATATAATCCCTTACAGCAAACACGATAAAATACAAGTAATCTCAGAATCGAAGATCATAGTACGGGCGTTCCCACACGCGTGAGATGCGCTCGCAAATAAAGCACGACGCGCACGCATCCGGGCGCGAATGTTCGTGCCATCGTTGTTGTGGGTGCCGCTGGCTATTGTGCTGTTGTTACTGTCGCTGTGCCTGTCACAAAACCACCACATGACTTCGTTGCTGATTACCGCGCTTCTCGCCGTTCTTGGATGTGTTCATACGGTAACCTATATCATCGTCATCTGCATTTTCCTTATCCCATTCTTTTGGTGAAAACTATTATTCGTGGATTTTATAAAAAAAAATATTATAGTCATTGTTAGAATTTTCATTTGTTCTAATTAATTTTTTTATATATTTTGATTGCCGCCGGGATCCTCAAGGTCCTTATGATAGATGTAGTTCATACGGTAATCTTGTATCATCATCATCTACTTCTCCTTCAGAAGCTCCTCCCATACCTTTGAGGTCGGCGTTGTTTTTCTCTTACGATAATCTATACATATGATAATACTGTAACTGTTTGCTGATAAACTATTATTGGTGGACTTTATCAACGAATCAAATCAAATCACACACTATTTTCTTTTACAGGCAACTACAGGATGCAAGAGCTGTATTGTAAGTTTGTTTCTATGATCATAGTACATACTCAATTCTATTATATATTAAAAATATTATAAAGCTACAGTAATTTGTAATATTTTTATTTCTTTACATCTTTGGACTTCTGATTAAATTTTAGTAAAGATACTTTTATCACAGATAAGACAATATTATATAATTTTAGACAATGACAGAAACAGCATTATAGCGATATTATGGTTTCTTTTTTCACATAATGGAATATACAATATTCACTTGTCACAGTGTTTGTAACAAAACTCCGAAACGGCCTAACCGACTCTTAGAAATTTTGTGTGTACCTTGGTATATTCAGTAGGTCTGAGAATATGACGTAAACTATTTTTTACAGCTCTATGAGAGTGGTCCACCCAATTTTTTTTTATTTAATTCTATACCATCTACCGCCTAGTCATTTTTTTAATTGCAGGCTTTAGGCAAAGAAGAGAAGGCAATGTTTCGCGCCCACTCTGAAGCTTGTCTACCACAGTCAGAAGTGGATCCTAAACTGGTAGACGCCATGTTGAACGGAGAGCTGCTCGATGACCAGGCGTTAAAGAAGCACGTATATTGTGTCCTGCTCAAATGTAAGGTGATAAGCAAAGACGGCAAACTCCAGAAGACTGCTGTTACGGGAAAGATGTCATTGAGAACTAATGGAAAGAATGCTACAAAGGTATATTTATATGTTTGTTCTTTTTTTTATTTATCTATTGAATCTTAGTAATATTATAGATGGATATTTGTTACTCTTTCACACAGTAGTATAGCTACTGAATGGACTTTAATGGAACCTTACAAACTAATGAAACTTTTAATATACATCATACATTAGAATAACACATAGACTATACCTGTTTGTTCTTTTTTTTATTTATCTATGGAATCTTAGTAATATTATAGATGGATATTTGTTACTCTTTCACACAGTAGTTTATCTACTGAATGGATTTTAATGAAACCTTACAAACGAATGAAACTTTTAATATACCTTATACATTAGAATAACATATAGGCTATACCTATATTTCACGCGGGTGAATCCGCGGTCAATTATCATTTGCTTCCTCCTTACCCCATTCACTTGTGGTCGGCGTAATGTTTGTCTCTTCCATTCATCCCTGTTCGCAGTCGTCTTGTTATTGAGTCCCTTTCTTGCCATATCATCTTTCACACAGTCCAAAGCCACCTAATATTTTAATAACAAAAATAATAAATGGCATCACATGCTTTATTTATTATTATTTATAGTTGATATATAAGCAAAGGATGGTAATGTACAGATGAATACGCTTAGTAGCCGATGGCATCACTAGTTAACAAAAAAATTACACGCCTAGCCCGTCTACACTTACTCCCTTAATTATGATTATAACCACCTCAGAATTCCACCATTATTAAAGTGGTTATATTATAGTGTTTCATTTCCTTTTAATTGAAGGAAGTAACCCTAATAAATAATAACACGAATAAGGACAAAACAGTTGAATAGCTGACGACGGCCTCGGTGGTTTAGCGCTTTACTTCTGATGGACGCGGGTTCGATTTGCACGGTGTAAATATTTGTATTCATGAGTATGATTGTTTGTATCGGTCTGGGTGTTTTCTTTCTATATTATGTATGTATTTGTAAAAAATATATTTAAGTATTTATATCAGTTGTACCTATATACCTTATAGCTATAACGAATTTGTAACGAGTTTAATAGTTTTATAAATAATCACAAAAGACATGGTATATTATAGTTTTTTTTATCTTAGATTCTGGAAAGCTGTGCTGAACAGAACGGTGATACTCCTGATACACCTGAAGATGTTGCTTGGAACATGTTCCGTTGTGGTTATGACAAGAAAGCCATTCTCTTCGACTACATGCCGACAGATGCCGCTAGCGGAGACTTAGAAAATAATTCTCAGTAACTTAATAAATCTTTTTTAGTATACCTTTTAAATACTTTTAATTGTATACGTACATTTTAGTTTTCAGTATAAGAAAGTTAAAATTATATTTTAAATTTAATATTCCATGCTTTTGTTAACGTTTTGTGTTTTTTGTTATTTTCATACTCATTTTTCACACATTGATTAAATACTCCTATACATTTTAATAAACAAAACATAATTATACCGAGTGGTTGTTTTATTAGTAGTAATTCGATATTTAGTTATAATAAGTATTAATAAATCTGTTATTATATTTCAAGTCTTTCCTAATATTGACGTTGCTTCTAAATTCTGTTCAATGCTAGAGGCACTAATTTGCTCCTTAAATTTAGAAGCCTACCTATTCTTAATATTTAGAAATAATTAGTATTCAAAATTTCAGTAGTAGTAGTATCTTACTGTCCCACCAGCCCATCAGCGGTAGACTAAGAGTTTCTGTATGTGTACTCGGTACTAAATGTTTTATCCGTCAGGCTTACTTTGTAAGCTGTGTTTCGCTTGTAAGGTGCGATTAGGCAGACATTACAGGATGAGGCACCACATCTTAGTCCTCGACGTAGCAACGTATGAGTGGTATCACTTGTGTCACATGATAACGTGATGTCCATTGCTGTTCAAGTGTGTAGGCGATGATTACTGTTTGCCACCAGGGGGGTCGTCAGCTTGCTAAACCTATAATGAGAATCGCTGGCAGTTTTATATATTCATTTATCTTATATACGTTTGTTTTATATATTACTTCTGTCACTGCGCTCTGCCGTACATCAACAACCTGCCTGCAACTCTGCCTACAAATCATATCTCTTATTATTACTCTCAGCTTAAAGAACCCTAAACGCATACGTTATCATAGCATAAACAAAGCGGCAAACTATTGTAAGTCTTAAAATGTTTTGTGATAATTAATAAAATTAAAAACAAAGCAAAATTAGTTTTATATACCTATGTAAATCTAATACAAAAATGATAGAAATAAGTAGGTAGGTACTATACTTGACATGACCTCGTATTTTTTCTCACAAATTACATCAACATCTAAAATTGCACTCAGGCGGTGATTGTCGAGTTCTCTTGAGAAGATGACTTCACCGGGTAATGACACTAATATAGTTAGTGACGAATTGGTTAACTGTAGTTGGTTAATGTTCAATACATGATCGATCTGCATGAAGTGCGTACTAGGGCAGCTAAATAATTATGGACTGACTGTAGATAATTATTAGCTAGGTTGGTATAAAAATATATAAAAAGAAGGTAGGTCTTCATTATAATGTTGACCTCATGAACACTATGTTTTTATCTATTACGATCTTCGCCAATATTATTCAATATTATCTTATCTGTGCCAATACTGAAACAAGTATGGTGAACATTTTTATTGAAATTATTTAAATCGAAGGAGTTTTCCTTACTTCCCTTCAATGCTATCTAAGTTTGTGTCACCGAGCACTTAATTACAGTGTAAATGTTTTTTTTTTTAATATTCAATTATTAAAAAGGGTTTTGGTATAAAAGTAATTTTGTAGGGTTATGTTAATATTTACAGAATCTATTAAAATTTTCCTATACTAACTGTTTATGAATTCCTAAGAAATATTTAGATCAATTTATAGTTTAGATACTTAGTTGAGTACAAGGAGAAATACAGAGTATACGGCTAAATATAATAAAATGAGAACCTGATTTGAAGTAACGGTCAATGACAACCTTATACGGCGCAAAGTAAGTATCATTTCTATTTAACATATTGTGACATGCGAGGGAGGCTGTACAAGATAGTTGCACTGGGTAAAGTGTAAATTATATTCGAAACAGCTTTATGATCTCATTGCAGGCTGTGGGCGGTGACCCACAAGAACGCAGGAGTGCGAGTTGCGAGCTGTGTTACCGCGTGCTGCTAGCAGTGTGACCGCATGCCTTTGCCTCGACGAGTGACGTGACACATGCGCCATATTTATTGTTATCGCGCCAATTTTGAATTTGGAATTTATATGTTATTAGTGTGTTAATTTATAGTTATAATTAAAATTATGTTGTGATAATTGTTGTGGTTTAATTAAGTGGTTTATAGTTTTATGTTTTGAGTATTTTGTAATCTAATGTGTTGTCAGCGTGAGCGGATTCGCAAATTGTTTGTAGAACGTAAGTTTTGAATTATAAAACCACATTTCTTTACACAGTTTAAATTTAAACTTATAATCATTATTAACATTTAGGTTTTCATCTAAATTCATATTACAAGTAATAAGTATCATAATTAAAATTATTTGTAAACTCTAATTTTATTGCTTATCTAACTAAGCTAATTATACTAAATTGATTTAAGTTTGGTTGTTATGGGTAGTATTGTACCCAAACTTGTTGATTGGTTTCTCAACATAGATAGACACAGGACATCGCAGTTTTATAACCAGCAAAATCCTAATAATTTTGTTTTTCCGTTTGGCTATGTCAATGCAATCAATATAAAATATATACATATATATTTGACGACCTCAATAGTCTTGCGGTTTAGCGTACTGTTTTATGTGCGACGGTCGCGGGTTTGATTTCTCACATAGTACAAACATTTGTATGTCTATAGTAGCTATGTAGGTATTTACACAAATGTATACATGTAAGTAATTACATCATTTGTCTAGTACCCATACAACAAGTTCTGCTTAGCTTGGGACTAGATGGCGCTGTGTGGATTGTCCAGAGTTATATTTATATTTTACTGTTCTGTCACATCTTAGTAAATTTATTATATAAATTTAAATTAGATGGAAATATGCAATAAGAAAGTACACTACTTTCTTTTAATGGGGTTTGATGAATTGATGATGGAACGATAATACCTAGTCAGTCCGTTCTAATGGATTAAAACTGATGGGATTTTCATGAATTTTGATAGACACGGATCAGGATCAGGAGATCATATCCTAGAAAGACCTAGGTTACTTTTTACCTCAAAGCATTCGGACAGTGCCGCGGTATGGAAGTTAGCTATTCTATTTAGTTTATCTCCTAAAAGAAGATGGGCTGATATGCTTGTTTGCCATTATCGTAGTATAAAAAAACGAATAGGACACAAACAATAAAAAAATATATACTTAGTTCTAAATTCAAATGGAAATGGAATACTAAATAAATGCTTAAAATATAGCTTGAAGCTAAAATACAAGTACATGATTATCTAAACAGCATCTAACGCCTCGGTCGCCCAATATGGACTAAAAGCCTACGCTGGAACGAGATCAAAAGAAATTTCGCCATAAGTTCTTTAATATTGTAACTAAGTATAACTATATAAATTAGTATAGACCATATATATAGTATGAATCATAATAGGGTTGAACAAAATATTGTAATATAATTGTCACAAAATAATAAGCTACATGTTTTCGTAAATTGTACTACTGACGGTTTTTAATGTTCTATAGGAAGATATATAGGAAAATTATGCTTAGGTGTTCTAAGTATTATAATTGTTTAGAAATATTTCTTTTGTTATTTTAAAAATACGACTCGTTAATATGACCAAATAAAAAAAATTGTCAGTACGCCTGAATGGAAATTATATCCCAAACATTTTCTATATAATATGTTCCTAAACCAAGTTTTCTTGCTGCACCAAATTACATTGTGTGATTAATTAAATAGGCAACGAGGTAGTGCTGATTAAATTGAATAATTGTAATTGAATAATCGGACAACCCTATTACCCTGCCTACGAAGGACCAATCTCGGCATACACAAATAACTAAGATGTTTCACTAAAATGAGCACTACCTTAAACTAAATCACCATAAACATTGTATTCAAATTACTTAAAAGTTGTACCAGCAGTCATATCTCCATCATAAATCGATAATAACGCCAAATTCGATTAAACGAATCGATTGTGACGTCGAATACAGCGCTTGCCAAAACCAGGAACCAATAAATATCATACATTTTAGTGTAAGCCCGAATGCGGCCGGTCGACCTCGTCGTTATTTCCTTAAAATAAACCAATAAGCCCATACATATTGGGCATACTTCGCAGATAGCATTGTCTCTGCCTGTTATGGTTTATGGCCGGCCGCCATGTTGCTGCCGTCTTCGGAGATCGGTTACTCATTAGTATTTTTGGCGCGAAATCAAAAGTGCACTTACTGACCTGCACAATAATTGCATTCACCTCATTAGCAAAATAGAGTGATGGAAGCCGCAGCATGATATTTTTAGGTAATTTCTGTTAAGTCTGTGTATTTATAAGTTATTACAATGCTTATAAATACACAGCACTATTGCGTTTCTTATAAATACACAACATTTGCAGCGTGCGACTATGCAACTACAATATAAATTGTTTGTATACATTTTATTATATTTAGTATTAGTAGGTTCTATTTAACTAAAAGAATTCTTATTTTCACTCGTATTCAACTATACAAAATGCATTTGGCATTTATATACAAATAGGAAAGGATTTTAGAAATAGTTGAAGCGGTTCCATTTGTTAGAAACTCCAACACAAATAATTATTTAAACCTTTTTAATAATTTTCAAATATGGAACGCTGTGTTCTTAAGATTACGACTGTCTTTTGTTTTTGTTCTCTTCTTCAATATTTGTTACATCGATAATTATAATAAAAATATATAATTTCAATTTAATATACAATTTGGTGTTTTTTAGTCGTTTTTAACGATTACATCCACGCACCTCGTTAGATTACACCTCACAGAACACATCTTAGCCTACACTAGACAATATATAGATAGGCTATATAGATTAGTACAAATAACCAACCTATTTTATGCAAAGAACTTTTGTACTTTATGTAATTGGTGTACTATAAACATTGCCTATACATTTCAATATATATTAAAAAAATATAGAAAACATACTTATTACAGCAACAAAAACTAAGTTATTCTGGTGACAGAGCGCAGTACCATTCTAATTGTTTTCCTGTTCCTTAAAACATATACGCATTTTTCACTTCTTATATGATAATCGTAGTAGTATATGATGATACTTCTCTATAGTTTTTTTTACATATTTTAAATTATAGTATCTCGGTATGTATAAAGTTCTGGTAATCTAACTGTAACTCCTACCTTTTTATGAAGTTCCTTTATTATTTATTTAATATTATTTCAGTCCGTTTATTTATGTTTTAAAAAAAGTACATTTAACCTGGAGA